TTCCTCTCTTTAAAATCAATGAAAAATAATAATAAAAAATTTAAAAAAGAAAGTCTCAATGGTCACGATGTGACCTCTGGCGCTGTGGTTCGGCTGAAGGGCCCTGGCGGTGTTGCTTGGCCTCGGTGCATGCTTCCAGCTCTGACTTCCAGGTTTGCCGGGTGCCAGGTGTGGAAGGGGCTGGTTACGTGTCCTGTGTCACCCGCCAGGGCACCGCACAGGGACGGGGTCCTTAGGGCTTTTGGTGGCAGCGCAACTATTCAGTTACCTCTGCTCTGTCCCCCTATGTTTGGTCTAGTCTGGGGGTGAGGGAGTATCCCATGAATTTGGGGACCTTCTCCACTCAGGGATTAGCCCACAAGCCTCGCCCGGTGCCACTACCCAGCCCACGCACCTTCTGCTGAACCATCATTCTGGCCCTTTTGGGGTTTCGGAGCTTTGTAGCATGCACCCCCCCTCCCCCTCTGTGGACTAGCATTCTGGGGTTAGAGGCTCTGGCCCAGCAGCTAAGGCAGCCTCCCGAGAACCAGTGTGGCAAGCTCAGGTAACCCAGCCCGGTGACTGCACTCTGGGCACTGGCCCGCATCCAGGGGTCCGCTCCAAAGCAGGTAACACGGCGCAGATCAGGGGCCCAGACAGTGGAACACACAGAACACATGTTAGTTTCCTGCTGCTCCTGCTGCTGCTGCTGCTACTGCTGCAACCAAGCACCACAAACAACACAAGGTCGCTCTGGCTGGCGTGACTCAGGGTTGCAGGTTTGATCCCCAGCCCAGTCTGGGAGCGTGTGGGAGGCAACCCATCGATTCTCTCTCTTTCTGCCTCCCCCCATCCTTTCCACGCTCTCTAAAAATCAATGGAAAAATATCCTCAGATGCTGGTTTAACAAAACAAAACAAACAAAGAACAGCACAAATTATTCTCTTCTGGTTCTGGAGGTCAGAGATCCAAAATGGGTCCGCAGGGCCGGGCCCCTTGGGGAGGCTCCAGGGTAGAAGCGGTGCCTCGCCTGTCCAGAGGCTGCCCGCACTCTTGTCCTGTGGCCGCACATCATTCCAGCCTCTGCTCGGTCCTGGTGCCCCAGCCCAGTGACTGCATTCTTCGGGCACTGACCCAGGGGACAGCTCCAGGGCTCGGCTCTGAGCTGGCCCGGCGTGGGGACACAGCACATTCCTGAAGACAAGCCTGGTACTTGGAACGGTCAAGAGGTTGACAGGCCAGAGAGGAGCTATTTTGTAGTTGGCCTTCACAAGGCTGTCAACGAAGTCCCTATGAACATACGGGCAGAGGCCGATAAAAACACAAGCCATGCCTGTCCCACACGGGCAGGAGATGCGACGAATCCATCCCACTGATGCAGGAGCAACTACCTGCCACCTGGGTCGGGGCAGAGACTTCCATCCACCCAATCATTTAAAGCAGCGTTTCTCAACCTGGGGGTCGAATGACCCTTTCACAGGGGTCGCCTAAGATCATCGGAAAACACATATTTCCGATGGCGATTCATAACAGTAGCAAAATTACAGTTATGGAGTAGCAAAGAAAATGATGTTACGGTTGGGGGTCACCACACATGAGGAGCTGTATTAAAGGGCCGCGGCGTGAGGACGGCTGAGGACCGCTGGGTAAAGTGAGTCGGAGCAGGTCACGCTGACAGCTGGGTGAGCGTCAGACCCAACAAGACGCCCAGGTGGGGTTGCAGAAGAAATGCCAGAAGAAAAACGCGCGCTCGGGGACCCTGGCGACACAGCGCGGTATCTATTAAAAACAAGGCCATGGCCCGGCCGGTGTGGCTCAGTGGTTGAGCGTCGACCCAGGCACCAGGAGGTCACCAGTTCGATTCCCGGTCAGGACACATTCCCAGGTTGTGGGCCCGATCCCCAGTGAGGGGTGTGCAGGAGGCGGCCAATCGATGTTCTCTCTCATCAATGTTTCTATATCTCCCTCTCCCTTCCTCTCTCTCTCTAACATCAATAAAACTAAAAAAAATTTTGAAAAAAAAAATCAAGGCCACGACTTCACCTGTGCTGTGGACTGAATCCCCCTGGAGGTGAGCGACTCCGCGTGTCTTGGTTTAGAGCCTCCAAGTGATGCAACAGTATGTCCTGATTCTGAACCTCTGACCCCAAAACCAGCAACACGTCGTAAGGGGACTTAAAATCGCCTGTTTAGAAATAAGTACACTGAACTCGTAGGAGTAATACTTTGGTGTGTTCAACTGTTTTGTGCAAATCACGACAGCCTGTGGATTGATTTAGGGGCTTGGACACGTAGGAGAACCTGGCGTGTTAGCTTTGTGCTTTTCATCTGAAACGTGTCATTGAAATTAGACGCGCGAATTCTAATCTTGGAGGTGTTAGAAGATTGTTGGTAAACTTTGAAAAGCTTTGAGCTACTCCAGAGAACCTGATTTCCTACATTTATAACATTTCAATTGCCTTGTGCTGAGCAAGACTTTGCTGCTTGACTTGAATCTTGCCTGGCTTGGGAGTCTGATGTCCTGAAAAGAATGAGTGAAACTTGGAAATGTGTTTAAGATCGTTAAAGGAACTTCATGATGCTTGCAAATAGGGTTAATGGGCAGCATTTAATGTGTTAAATGTATGAATAATCATACGAGTGCTATTTTTACAGAAAAAAATACACGATCAGTAGTATAACAAGATGTGCATGATAACCTTACAAGCTTTAGAAATAGATTCTTATGTTTTCACCTCTATAACAGAGTAAACATTTATTCAAAGTAATTATAGTCATTTGCACACATAAATACCCTTGAACACTGAGAAACTTGAATAAGCGCATCTCTCTGACAGCTGTAGAATAACTAGGTAAAGCCATTTTCACGCAAACGATTATTGCACATTCTTAAGTGAGCAAAGAAGGCACTGAGCACACCTCGGAAACAGGCATGTTCAAGGGCTTGCACCCTGGATTTAGGAAACTTTCTGGTTGGAACAATTTCGCCCTCTCCTCGACTCCTGTAACACTGGACTTGTATGTAAATAGCTAGCCCAGGGTATCTTGTGCATTAACCTCCTCCTGAAGACAGATCCGAGACCAGGCTCTGGCCTGCCGGTGGCGCTCCCCAGGGAGCTGCAGCCACAGCAGACTCACGATGAACATTTACTAGACTTTTTACCTCCTACAGGTGGAATCTATAGAAACACTCCCAAGCAAATGCCAGCATCTCTCCCCGACACTTCCCTTTGCCTGGACCCTTTCCTAGGGCAGTGAGTATTCCAGAAATTTACTGAATTAATTCCTAAAAAAGAGGGCCTCACACCAGACAGTCTTCATCAGCCCCAGTTCAATAAGCTCTGATTTAGTCTTCATCCTTTTTATTGATTGTTTGGGAGGAGAAATAGGAATTTGTTGTTCCACTTATGTACTCATTGGTTGATTCTTTTTTTTTTTTTATCCTCACCTGAGGACATTTTTGCATTTATCTTCAGATAGAGTGGGAGGGGAGAGGGAGGAAGAGAGAAACATCAATGTGAGAGAGACACATCAAGTGGTCGCCACCCGACACGACCCCAACCAGGGCCGGGGACAAACTGCAACCGAGGTACGTGCCCTTAGAGGGAACTGAACCGGGTCTCTCTGGTCCACAGGCTAACGCTCTAACTGCTGAGCCAAACCAGTAACCAGGACGGTTCTTTTTTTGTTTTTTGCCCTTGGCTGGAATCGAACCCACGACTCATTGGTCCATGGGCCAAAGCTCCACAACTGAGCCAAACCGGCCAGGGCTCATTGGTTGCTTCTTGTATATGCCCTGGCCAGGAATTGATCCCGCAACCTTGGTGCATCGGGACAACACTCTAAGCAACTAAGCTCCCTGGCCTGGGGCCTAGTTTTCATCCTCTTAAATGAGGGGACAGACCATGTTAAAGGTTCGCTTTTTACGAGATTCTTCAACCAAACCCCCTAAAACTTAAAATAAGTCTGACCTGACCACAGCTAACGCGTACGCACTGATGTTCTAGGAGCTCAGTGTGTTCACTGTCCACGGCACATCAGCCCCGCTGACCCCCGCTGCAATGGCAGACTCCAAAGACCCAGCTTCCCACAACCACCACACTGAACCGCTTCAACCCTGAGACACGGCCATCACTCGGACACAGATCTACGGCTTCCGTTGCTAAATCATATTTCTGCAGCCCACTGCTCTGTTACTGACATCATCGATAGCCTTGGGGCGGACAGGTAAGGAAGAAAAATAGGAGAAGCTAGTCAGAGCACCCAGATCCCCTGGGATCATTCAAAAGGGCAAGTTCTGATTCAGCAGTTCTGGGGCGGGGCCTGAGAGTCTGCTTGTCCAACAAGCTCCCAGGGGACACTGGGCAGCTGCTGTCTGTGGGCCATCTTGAATAGCAAGTGCTGAGGCGAGCCTGAGACAACTCAATTTGTCCCGTGGCAAAAGGAGGGGGGGATACACAGATGTCCCAGAGCTGTTAGATGTGGTGGAAAACAAAGAAAGAAACTGAAGTGCAAGAATATGAAATGTGCCAGGGTCAGAAACATGTTAGGGGTGTGTAGGGGTTGCCCCCACCACCCTTGCACCCACACACACACTCTGAAACACCGCAAGGAGCAAGCCAAGCCACCAATGAGCACTGTTGCTGTAGTACGGCCCGTGCTGAGCAACAGCAAGGCTGCCCACACCCCATTCTGCCCTGACCACTTTCTGTTGTTAACCCTCATCCGAGGATCTTTTCCCATTGATTTTTAAAGAGAGTGAAAGGGACAGGGAGGGAGGGAGAGAGAGAGAGAACCGTCAACATGAGAGAGACGCATTGGCTGGTTGCCTCCCACATGACCCTGACCAGGGCCTGGGATCGAACCTGCAAGCCAGGTGCATGCACTTGACTGGGAATCGAACCTCTGACCCTTCGGTGAGCAGGCCGATGCTCTCACCGCAGAGCCACACTGGCCAGGGCTTTTCCTGGCCATTTTTAATAGGCAATATTAAAATTTTTAAAAAGTGTGCTGATGAAGAGGTCAATCATACCTCTGGACTTAAAAATGAGACAAGCCACATAAATTCTCTTCCTTAAAAAACAGCCATTTCAAAAGATTTTCTTTAATATCATAAAATATTTTCATGGACAGTGAGCTAGCAAACACACATGCACCAATGTGCCTTCTGACAAGATTGTTCCCACCCCATGCCCCTCTCCCACATCAAGGTGGACATGAGACTGGAGAAATGGATACAGCAGATGGAACAGATAGAAAAAAAAATCAATAAAAAGGATGGAATATAACATTGTGCTTGGTTATTTTCCTATGTCACAACAACACAAAACATTTTGGTGCAAATAGTTAATTTTTCCTCTTTTCCATTTAAGTCTGGTGAAGAAAAAAATACTTTTTCTATAATAAAATATGCTGTTTTTTGGTTTTTTACTTTTTTTAACGTAACTTTTTTTTTTTTTTTTTGCAGAAAATAATTTTGTAAACTGTCACTGGGCAGGCAGGGAGGCTGGAGGCCCCGGGTCCCAGCTCTCGGGCGGGGGAGGGGCAGCGGAGGAGCGGGGAGGGGCCTGCAGGGCTAAGGCGCCGGCCGGGAGGGCGGGTTAGAGGTCACTCTCGCCGTAGAGCGCCGTGGAGAAGGACATGTAGTCCAGAGCACCGGGCACGGCGTCAGGGCCGGTGTAGGGGGCCATTCGAGCGATGCAGTACTCGGCCTGGTCCGGGGGCAGCTCCCGGCGCAGCTCGTCCACCGTGATGTAGTTCTGCGGAGAGAGCGGGATCAGAGGTCACACCGCCAGGCAGCTGTGCCCTAGCTGTGCCCGCCAGCCCCTCCTGTACGTCTGGGTACACACAGGTACATTCCGCAAACACCCAGTGGGACCCTGGAAGAAGGGGCGCTCACCGCCTTCCCTGCAGACCAGAGCCGGGCCTGGACCTACCGCCCCAGCACACGCACCTTGTCGCCGGCCAGGATCTTGAAGGAAGCCATGACTTGGTCTGCTGTGTCTGTGTCTGCCGTCTCCCGGGACATGAAATCGATGAAGGCCTGGAAGGTCACCACTCCCAGGCGGTTGGGGTCCACAATGCTCATGATTCGGGCAAATTCTGCCTCTCCCTGGAGAGAAGAGCCACCCCCAGGCCTGTCAGCCTCTGAGCCATAACCTGCTGGGACTCTGCAGGGACCTGAAGCCCCTGGGGCTGTGAGAGGGCACAGAGGCCCCCAACCAAACCTGGGTTGTCCTGAGGGTATGAGGAGCCTCTTCACAACACCCAGCAGTGAAGACCCCGCCCGCCCGGGGCTGCCCATCCCCTACAGATGCCTGGGCTCCCCTGGGGCCAGCTATGATAGTGCTGATGACAATACCAATAGTGACCACCCACACAACATACATCATATACCAGGCACTATTCTAAGGGCTGTGCATAGTTTAATTCATTGAGCCCTCACCACAACCCCATAAGGTAGGTGTTTATTACTTCCATCAAGTTTCCAGATGAGAAACCTGTGGCCCAGACAGGCTTAGTGACTTGCCCAAGGTCACACAGCCAGGGGTAGTAGAGCTGGGATTTGGACACGGGTGCTGGCTCCACAACCTGTGCTCTCACACGCTACTTTCTGTGCCAGACAAGTGCACAGCACTCAGGGGAGTCCCTTCATTCAACCCTGACAACAGGCCCCCAAGCTAATAAAGGCGGAGCTGGCATTTACTCCTGGTTCACTAGAGCCTGTACGCCGGGCAGCCCGCGGGCTCTGCACTCTGCACCAGGGCCCAGGGGTCACCTGGCTGCCCAGCTAAGGCCCTGCGAAGGTTGGGGAGGAGCCTGGGGCAATGGCAGAGGGGCCAGGCGTGGCTGGAGCCGTCACTGGGGAAGTGGTAGCACTCTATGCCTCGTACAAGACGCAGCAAGCCAACCCAAACCCAGAATGTCAGCTCTTCCTGCTCGCCTCGGGGTCAGCCCGGCTGTCCATGTGGGGGTGAGGAAGCCTATGTCCACGGTAAGTACCAGAAGATAAACCAGCACGGGCGGTGGGTCTGCCAAGCTCCAGGACACACGGGGCCCACAGCTGGGCCTTCCCTTCAGGGATCCATCTGCCCCAAGGAGCAGACTTGAGCCCCCTCTGGGGAGGGCAGTCCCCAACCTGAGGGCATCCAGACTGCCACAGCTGGGACGTGGCCTCCGCCGCCAGCTGGCTGCCCCTCGCCAGGACAGAGGGTGGGGTTTACATTACCATGTTGTAACCCATGGAGATAAGGCAGGCTCGGAAATCATCCGTGTCCATCATGCCTGTCTTCTTCTGTGGGGGCAGTGGCATCGAGACACAAGGAGGAAGGGCCGGCCCAGGGCCAGGAATACAGGGCACAGATGGCCGGAGGGGAGGGCGAGGTGTATGGTTTCAGGATCAGGAAGGGAGAGGAACATGGGAGGAGCAGATGTAAATACACATCCAGGGAAACGTTCAGGAAGGAGGAAGACAGAGCAGGGAGATGCAGAGATCCGTCCACAGGATGGAGAACGGCGAGGAGAGGAAGGCGGGCACCCAGCAGGTTCCCAGGACAGACAACCGAGGGCAGAGTCAGAGGTCGGAGCAGGAGGAGGAGCCCAACACGGGCCGGGCGGGTACAGCAGGAGAGGATGAGCCCCCGTGGGAAAGAGGAACAGGGAGATCCAGACAGAGAAGAAAAAAAGGAGAAATACGCGTTATTTCTTGCCCCGGATGCCACCCCTGAGCATGCTCCATGCAGGAGGCCAGTACCTGGGGGTCGTTGCCAATATCATAGCCCAAGCTGATGAGGCAGGCTTTGAACTCCTCGGGGCCCAGCGTGCCGGAGTGGTCCTGGGGCCGCCGTGCGCCAGGCAGCGAGCCATGCGGTGCCAGGGAGGCCGAGGCCGTGAGGGGAGGTGGTGGGCCATGCCCCGGGGGAGGGTGGTGAGTGAGGGGAGGCACAGGGACAAAGGCATGCCGACAGAGAGGGTGGAGGGTGGACAGGGTGGGGAGGAGGGGAAATAAAAGTGCACATGGTTAGACACACAGACGAGGTCCCGAGGGTGCCCTCTCCCCAGCACACACAGTCCTGCTCCGGGAAGCAGGCCAGAGGGAGCACAATGAGTCACGGGGGTGAGAAGCCCCCAGAAGTGCCCAGCCCACCCCCAGCCCGATGCCCCACCCCAGTTTCCAGGAGGGCTTCACCCAGCCAGGGGCTGAGAGGGCAGTGAAGCAGGCAGGTGGTGGGCAGCACCTAACCCCATGCTCCCTCGCACCCCGTGTGGTCACCCCAAAGCCCCAGGGCACTGGCAGGGGCACCCACATAGAACCCAGGACTGACAACTATGTCCCAGGGGGTGGGGTGGGGGTAGGAGGGAGCCTCCATCCTGTCCTGAGGCAGAGGCAAGGGACAGTCCCCAGAGCCAGAGGCAAAAGGCCTTCACTTGAGGTTATGGTAGCCTTGCTCCCATGGGCTAAAGCTGCATGGTTGGAGAGCAAAGGTCAGGGGTCAAGGGTCCTTTCTCCACCCACATGAGCTGTCTGGCCAGGAAAGCAGAGGCTCACGGGATCCCAGGACTGGCTTTGTAAGGCTGGCACTGTGCGGTGCAGTCGAGCAGGCTGTAGCAGCTGCTCCCTCCTCCTCACCTGCCCAGAACTTGATCCGGCATGGCTGCCCACACCTTGGGCAGTGCCCTCCAGGGCCCTGGGGCAGGGGCCGGGGGCTGCTCTAAGCAAGTGCAGGGGGTGGGTCTCTCACCCGGTCGAAGTGGTTAAAGGAGGCCCGGAACTCGTTCATCTGCTCCTGGCTGATGCCCTTGGCATCCCGGGTCAGGATCTGGTTCTCCACCTCGTTGATGGTCCTGGCGATGGTGGTGAGGAGCTGCTCCCAGCCCACGCGTATGTGCTGGGTGTGGGCAAGGGGCCTGTTAGCACAGGGCCCCGGCCTGGGCCCAGGCTGCCCCTCCCCCTTCCTCCCCGACCGTCGAATGTCCCGTCCAGCAAACGCGCCTTCCGTGCAGCTAGTGTCAGCAGAGCGGAACACGACTCCAGGACAGAGGAGCCAGAGGACGAAGGGGGAAGTGCGGGAGGGTAGTGGCTTCTGCCTGGGACAGCAGAGACCCCAACCACCAGGGTGGGTCGAGACAGGAAGGCAGGAAAGTCTGATGGTGGGAAAGATGCAGGGGTGGGGATCGTCTGGCCTGCGGGCCGCAAAATCAATACCAGCCGACATTAAACGCTTCATCAAATCGGCCTAACCCAATAGAGCAGGCTAATTTTTAAGTTGATAATTCTGCACGGCCTGCAAATGATGTTATAAATAATCCAAAAGGCCCTCAGCAGAAAAAAGTTTCCCCACCCCTGGTAAAGGATAAAAAAAATTGGGTCATTAACTCCATAGCCACACAACATGCTTCATGGCTGAAACAAGTTGTCGCTCACAATCAGATGCCTAAAGCAGCGTTTGGGGACCATCAGCCTCAGGATCACTGGGGCACTTTAAAAAATTTAGATTCCTGCCCCGGCCGGTTTGGCTCAGCAGTTAGAGCGCCGGCCTGCAGTCCAGAGAGACCCGGGTTCGGTTCCCGGTAAGGGCACGTATCTTCGTTGCAGTTTGTCCCCAGTCCTGGTTGGGTCGTGCGGGTGGCAGCCACTCGATGTGTCCCTTTCACGTCGATGTTTCTCTCTCTCTTCCTCTCTCTCCCGCCCACTCTATCTGAATAAAAAATGAAAAAATGTCCTCGGGTGAGGATTAAATAAATAAATCATTTAGATTCCTGCCCTAGCCAGTTGCTCAGTGGTTAGAGATTCAGCCTTTGGACTGAAGGGTCTCAGGTTCGATTCCTGGTCAAAGGCATGTCCCTGGGTTACAGGTTTGATCCCTGGCCCCAGGCAGGGTCATGTGGGAACCAATCAATGTGTCTCTCTCACATCCATCTTTCTTTCCCCCGCCCCTTCCACTCTAAAAATCAATGGAAAATATCCTCAGATGAGGATAAACAACAAAGCATTTAGATTCCTGAGCCCCACCCAGACGCAGTGAGTTCTGGGGGCAGGGCCTAGAAATCGGTATGTCAACAAGCTCCCTGGGAACCGAGAAGGCACTGAGGACTGAAGCGCCGGCGCTCCCGGGGTGAGCAGAAGTGAGTCCCCCTCACTCCATGGCAAGCGTTGGTCCTACTACGGTCAGTGTCCTTGGACGACGACAGGCACAGAAGGGACCTGTGGCTTCCTCCCCAGAGCACCAGCCGAGGCACCCACCTCCATGGTGTAGTTGGTGTGCTTGTTGTCGAAGATGAGCGCCTCCTGGATGAGCTGGTGGTCGCCCTCCAGCTGGTCGATCTTGGGCTTGTAGTTGACAATGCTCTTCTCATACTGTCTCAAATGGTTGAGCTGATCCTCCAGGGTCCCGTGCATCTCGATGGAGATCCGCCCAATCTCCTGCTCATCCGGGAAGGAGGCCCTTGTCAGACTACCCCACTGTATGTCCCTAGGAGGGACGGGGGCCCCCATGTCACTGGTCAAACCCTCAGATGATTCTCAGGTCCCGCCCCAGCACCTGGGAGCCCATCGGGGTAATTAGCAAGCCTGGGGCTAGACACATTGAGCATGGGAGTTCCTCGGAACGGAAAGAGCATCCCAGAGGTGTAGGACGGGCACTGCTGGGGATGGATGCAACACTCCACCCACCTGTCTCGGTTACCTAGCAGACTCAGGAATGGGATTCACGGTCTGTTGCTAACCTAAGCTCCGCCTGCTATTCAAACTCCCTCCCTAAGCCTTACTCCCGACCATCACTCATCCCAGGGACCCACCGCACGCCCACGGTCTCCGTGCCCACAGAGCCAGGTCCTCACAGCTCAGTGTACCTGGCTTCCCTCTTCGGTGGCCATGCTCCTAGTGCCCTGCTCCTAGGATGCCTACCTCGGCCCACCGCACTCCCACCCACCTGTGAGCCTGGCCTACTCGCTGTTTCTGTTGGCCCTTCATCCACGTACATGAAGGTCTGGGAAAGCGCTCTGCGCACTCAGCTCAACGCAGCAAACATTTCCTGAGCACCTACTACGCCCAGTGTGTGGAGCAGGTAGGGGGGTGCAGGGGAGACACAGACATGAACTCAACCCAACCTGCCCTCAAGAAACTCAGAGGGACCCCATGCTCGGACCCAAGAATATCCCTTCCCTGATCTGCAGCACCCCATCTGGCCCACACTATTCAGCAAAAAGTTCCGCACTTGCCCGAGGTTCAGGTCTCTCTCTGGAAGACCTTCCTCCTTGACCAAGCTCAATACTTTGAAGCAGTGATAACGAAGGAAGAGACCTGGTCAGCCAGATAAGCCGTAAGGGCCGGGCCAAGTCGGCCACCCAGGCACTGGTCGTGCTGTGGGACTTTCTCGTGTGTCCCTGTGTGGTCTTTGCTCCCAAGCCAGACACTGGGACCAGCCCACAGCTTCTTTGCATGAGCTCCACACCCTCTGCAGGGCAGCCAACCAGGCACAGGCTCAGGCCCCCCAGTCCGCCACAGGTCCCGCCTGGGAGGAGGCCAGGCAAGCCTGGCCGGCCGGGGCGGTGCGGGGAAGGGGTGGAAGCCTCACTCCTGCCTCCCACGATGGGACCCACCTCCATCTTGGTCTGGATCCAGGGCCCGATGACGTTGGCCTGGGCCCCAAACTGCTTGCGTAGCCTCTCGTTGTGCTGCTGGCGGGCATGCTCCTCCGTCAGGGCCTGGTCCCGCCGAGGCACCAGCTGCCGCACCTGTGGCAGGAAAAGCATGCGGTACTGGGGATGGGCCATCTATCTGCCCCGTATTGCAGATGAAAAGGACGACCCCTGAAGGGAAGGGGCCAGTCACTAACAGGAGTAAAGACATTGACCTATCCTAGAAATTCAGTCACTCGTTAACTCAACAGTTTTGACTATGTGACAATAACAAAAACACCGAAATCAATACAAATCAACCAAAAAAGAGACCAAAATCCCTGCCTTTACAAAACTTACAACTCAACCAACACCCCCTCCAGCCCTTGGACTCACATGGTCCCATTTGCCATTGATCTCCTGAGGCGTGATGGTTGTGTAGGGGTTGGTGCCCGCCATGTTGACGTGGTAGGTCTGGACGATCTTGGACACCTCGTTGTGGATGCCCAGGATAGCCAGGCGCTCCTTGTCGGCATCAGGGAGGGTGGCCTTGAACTGCTCGTGGGCTGTGGTCAGTCCCTGGACAGAGGTGGGGATGTAGGAGAACAGTGACTGGAGGGGCTGGTGCCTCCCATGGGCAAGATGAGCCAAGAAAGCCCTGCAGGTCCCAGAGCAGAGGGGGGTGGAAGGCACCCAGAGGCCCAGAGGCACCAACCAAGGAGCCTCCTGGCTCAGCACCAAGAGGGCAGGGCGGGCCGTGGAAGGTGAAGCAGAGCCTTCGAAGCAGTAGCTTCGTGCCCGGGGCTGGTGCCGTCAGCAGCGACCCTGGGAGCCCACCACCCACGATGTGGCCGGGAACAAGGCGTGCCCCAAGCCTGCCCCTAGGTGACCTCCCAGCCTAGCCTCCCTCGGTGCTTTGTAAAACCCTTCCATCCAACACTCAGCTGCTGTATAAAAGAACGAGGATGCTGTGTATGGATACGAAACAAGCTCCAAGGTATGTGTTAAATTTAAAACAAAGGTTCAAGATACAGTATATCAGAAAAGCTACTTTTTGTGTAAAAAAAAGTGGGGGGGTGTGGAGGAGACTGTTGATAAATAAACACATTTGCTCGAATAGGCAGACTGTGTGGGGGCACTCACTGCACAGCCTCCTTACCCCTTGGATGTTATGCCATGTGCATATGTCACCTAACCAAAGCAAATACAATGCAAAGGTTTCAATCTGTGACATCCTGGGGATGCTGTCCTCAGCCCCTCGCAGGGGCAGCCTGCAGGAGTGCAAGCGGCAGTGTGGGCCACAGCGGCTGGGGGACGGGGGCTCAGCTCACCTGGATCTCCTCGATGGTGTGAACGATGAAGGTGTCCTGCAGGTCCTCCATGGCCCCCTCCATCCAGTTGTTGAAGGGTGCAGCCCGCTTGGCGTACTCCAAGTACAGCTGGTCTATGGTTTCCAGCAGTTTCTCTGTCCGCTGGGAGTGCCAAATGGGGTAGGGGTGGGGACATGTTTAGCAGTGTCATACCCAGAATCCTCCCCCTGTCCTCAAGAGCCTCCAGCTCCCCCTGGCAGCCCCAAGGGGTCCAGGTTTGGAAGCACCAGCCTAACTCAGCAGAAAGAACAGGCTGTCTCTGGGGCACCGGTGCTTACATGGAGTGTACTGGCTACCCCCCATTAGAATCACCTGGCCTGGCCCCCCGAGTCTGCTCTGCAGAACAGGAAAGGACTCAATGGCTGGGGTTGGACTAAGGGCACTAAACCAGGGGGCTGTGGTTTAGGGTAAGAAAGGAAGCATCTCCAGAGCAAAGCCCAAATCCACTGCTGATGTGAGCCGTCCACACTCGGGCCATGGCTGGGGGAGGAGTGGGGAACCCAGTGGAGCCTTGCAGCCCAGAACAAAGGGAGTCACACAGCAGGAAGGGCACAGAGAGCTGCTGGGAGCAGGCCCCTCTCCCTCGAGAGCCCTCACCTCCAGGGCTTCCCTCCGCTTCTGGGTTAGGGCCCCTAGATTGTCCCACTGGTCACAGATCTTTTGGCACCGGGCGTTGACACTGGGTGAGTCGTAATAGTCCAGCTCACTGGGAGAAGAGACAGGAAGAGTCAGGTGACCAGGCTGCCTCTGTGGCTGCTTTGCTCTTCCTGAGGCCGGGGCGCTGGCGGTGCTGGAGGGCCAGGCTCCATCAAGGCCTCCCTGGCCCTCTCGGCCGTCCAGCTCCTTGGCTTTCAGGAGGCCACTGGGAGAAGACCAGAGGAGGCCAGTTCTCCTCTCTAAGGCTCCCCACCAACCTCAGCGGGAGGCAGTGCTAGTCTGGACCTGATGCGCATCAAGGAGCCATCAAGGAGTGAGGATTCAGAGCCAGGACCTGGTCGTCCTCTGGTTCCGCACTAGTTACAGGCAGGGACCCAAGGTCTCCAACAGGAAGGGTCACCAGCTCCCACCCCACCTGGGGGGTTGTTCTCAGTCTCCTGTATTGACCACCTTCCTGCCCAGGCGCCAGGCTGTGCCCACCCCCTGGCTTACCAGGACCCCACCAGGCATCTCCCACGCTGCCGCCGCCCCGGCCAGGCCACGCTTACTTGAGCTCCTGTGCGATGGCGGCGATCTGCTCCACGCGGTCCTGGTGGGCGGCCAGGTCGCTCTCGAAGGCTTCGTGCTTCTTGAGCAGGGCCTTGATCTCCGAGAGGGTGGCCGTCTCATAATCCTTCTGCCGCAGCATGGCCTCTTTGCCTGCGTGCAGAAAGAAGGCACAGGCCGAGCTGAAGCTGGGGCACAGGGGAGGGGGACATCTTCTTGGCCTGACCACCAGGGCCCAGGAGCGCTAGTTCCAGGGGCACACCTCAAGGAGATGCCCAATGCAAGAAACCAGAACAGCCACTAGGGGGCTCCGCCAGGAAATTCATGTTCTCCGGGAGTGTACACGGCGGCGTGGCACCATGGCCACGTTCACAGGCTGTGCGGGACTATGGGGAACACACGGGGCCTAACACTAACTTTATAAACAGCGGGAACAACGATCTACGCCCAGTGGTGTAACCAGGCAAAAACAAGCCAAGCACGAGGGGTACCCCATGTTAGAGTTTCTCTAGGTATTGTTGCTAGCCCCCAGCAGCCCTGCACCTCGACCCTCTCTGCTCTCGGTGTGGTCCGCGTGCCCAGGCACTGTGCCTTCACCAATGCCCAGAGCCTTCTCCGACCACCAAGCGCACGGCCCTCTCTCCTTCTGGGCAAGCAGCACCCGCCTTTGGATTTGTTTGCCGGGGGGAAAATGGCATGAGATACAACCTCCCAGGACTCTTGCAGGTGAGGTTCCCAGCTGCTTGCAAAGTGACGAGCACAGGACAGGGGCTGACCTGGCCTCGCCGCCCACCCCGTGTTCGCGCCCACCCCAGACGCCCCTCTCCGTCAATGAAGGCCGGGCTGCGAGGCCCAGGGCTGTGCCCAACATGGCATTTCTTTCCTTCCCTCTGCTCTTTTCTTTAAGGCAGAATAACAATACAACAATATAAAAAGTGAGAGACGAGCCTCTTTATCTACTCCTTTCAGTCTTTCCTTCATGGGTGTTGTGTTAAAACCACGGGGTATATATAAGCCGTTTCCTGCTTTCGAAATAATCAGCATATCACCAGGCTGTCCACCCTGCCCCCACAGTCTTCCCGGGCCACTCCACACTGCGGAGCATTCTGTCGAGTGGCTGAACCCCCTGCTGCGGGCAATCAGGCCCTCAACTCACATATTGCAGATGGTCTCACCGCACACATCCCCGGGCGTGAGATTCCCCCATGTTTAGGATCAATTCTTCAGCGAGTCTCAAGAAATGGAATCCCCAGGTGAGCAGGCATACATCGTTAGGTATGATGTATGGTGGCCAGGTGGCTTTGGTCGGCTTGTGCGGGCACCCAGCACTACTCAGGCCCTTGTCAGTGGCTGCCAGGCCGACAGGGCAGCCCTGCTCTGAGCTGTTCCTTGGCCCCGGACAGGACAGGGTAGAAGCATGTGGGTGAATCAGCACAACCTCCACCATCTCCCTCCTACTCTGCACCATCCATGCCGGGGTAACTGCACACTCAGGGTACAAAGCCCAGCACAGGGACTTACGACGGGGAGCTGGCTAACCCCAACCCCTTGGCAGAGTCCAGCACACTCAAATTCCCTACCAAGCCAACCCGCCCCGAGGTGGCCATGGGGTGTGGCCATCCCTACCCAACTCTAGCCTCAGGAGTGAGGGGCAGAGCAGAGCCGAGTAGGGGAGTCTGGAGCACTGAGCTCCACTAGCCAATGGGGTTTGCCCCGGGGCTCTGGCTGACACGGGCACAGGGCCCTAAGATTTGGGTAGCTCCATCCCCCTCTCCGCCCCCAGCCCAGGTTGTGAGGAAAAGACTCCTCCAGGCAAGATGTTCTGTCTGGAGTTAACCTTAGCTGCCAGTAAGCAGACAAGACCTAGCCGTGCGTGCCTCCGGGACGGAGTACTGGAGACACCGCCAAGGCAAGGCTGCTTCTCGGGCCCCGAGGCCAGAGCGGGAAGAGGGAGGCCGTGAAGGAAGCACACAGGGCTGCCACTTCCTGAAGGGTTCCACGTGCCGGGCACTCAACTAAACAGAAGATACACTCATGACACATACGCCCACCACACCCTCTGAGGGCTGTCCTGGATTGAAGAGTGCCCTCCCAAAACTCAGGTCCACCCAGACCTCAGACTCTGACCATATTTGGAAATAGGGCCTTTGCAGACGTGAGTGGTTAAGGGAGGTCCTAATGGATTACGGCGGCCCTAAATCTAATGGCTGGTGTTTTCATTAGAAAAAGGAGAGGAAGCCCTGGCCAGTTTCTCAGTGGTTAGAGCATCGGCCTGGAGACTCAAGATTCTCGGGTTCTTTTTTCCCCCCAGGGAGAAATCTGATGCTTTATTCAAAACTGCATTAAGCTTCTAGTTCAAATCCCAACCCAACCTTGTGACCTCCAGCACTGAAGTTCTTTCCATCGATTAAAGCTGATAGGGTCAGTTCCCAGCCGACTGGGTTCATTTCCCGCTGAAGGACACGTCCCTTGGTTTCAGGTTCAAACCCCAGCCCTCATCGGGGTTGTGTGAGAGGCAACCAATCAATGTGTCTCTCTCACATCAATGTTTCTCTCTCTAAAAAAACAAAATTCAATGGAAAAGCCCGGCTGGTGTGAATCAGTGGTTGAGCATTGACCTACGCACCAAGAGGTCGCCAGTTAGATTCCTGGTCAGGGCACATGCCCAGGTTGTGGGCCCGATCCCCAGTGAGGGGCGTGCAGGAGGCGGCCAATTAATTGATGTTCTCTCTCATCGATGTTTCTCTCTCTCCCTTCCTCTCTCTCTTAAAAATAATCAATAAAGGAAAAAGTTGGAAAAAAAAAAATCAATGGAAAAATATCCTCGGGTAAGGATTAATGTCCGCCATGATGAAGTAACCGCCTGAGCTAAAGCGGACCCTCTCAGGTGAGGATTAAAAAAGAAAAGGAAAAGGTGACAGATTAAGTCAGAGACAGAGAGAAGCAGCCAAGTTGACAACAGAGGCAGAGACGAGTGAAACAAGACAAGGAATTCCAAGGACTGCTGGCAACCGCCAGGCGCAGGACTCAGCCCGGGCTCCCAACCGCCTGCCCTGGGGCACCTGCATTTCTGGGTGTTCGGCCAGCCAGTCTGAGTCACCGTTAGCCCTAGGAAACAGACCCAGCAGGGAGCACCAGCCCCTGCGTGCTGCAGATGAGGGAACAGCCCTGGGAGAAAGCTGCCGCTGACAGCGGGGCCGGAGGGCGTGGGAGCCAGGGCCCTGGGGAGCCGGGGGGCGGGGCGGGCCTCACCATCCGTCCAGGCCTCGTGGATGGAGGCCTTCTGCCGGAACTTCTCTGCCAGGTGGTCCAGCCGCTCCAGCCTCCGGATCTCATTCAGCAGCCACTCCTCGTAGCCCTTCTCCGCCTGCTCCAGGCAGCCCCAGGCATTGTTGATATCCTGCGGGGTTAAAGGTACACGGTCAGGCCCACCTGGTCGCCGAGACCCCCGCAGCTGCTCCCAGCCTTCTAAGGAGGGGCCTCTTCCCCATCTTGGCCATGTCCAGCCATACCCACCAACCTCACTGGTATTAACCTGGGCAGGGAGTGGCAGCCCGTCTACACGGCCACCCAGATAGAGGGCTCTGGGTGTGCAGTCCTGTGGGGAAAGAGTCCAAGGCCTCCGTGGCCCAGTAATGAATTCCAACAGGATTCTGACCAATCACGGAGCTTGTAGGACCAGCCAAGGACACAGAGCAATGAAGTGACCAGGCAAGCAGGTATGGGTGCCTCCCCACCTCCCCTTATTTCTGATGGCTCAAGGGCTCTGGGAAGTAGCCTGGAGCCTGCAGGGACCCTGACCCAGGTAAGGTGGCCAGAGTCTGAGGATAGGGACATGCTGAGCACAAACCCATGGCTCTTTAGACAGGGAACCACCAACGGGGCCACACCTACAGTACCGGGCTAGGCAGTGATGGGCTGAACCTGGCATGTGTGCCTCTCAGGTCCCCGCTTGGTCCCCACCATGTGCCTAGGAGCCAGGCTGCATCTGCCTGGGGTTGGGGGGGACACTTTTTCTAACTTGCACCCTCTGGCCATCGCTGCTCTGGTCACCTAAAAGCTGTTGATTCAGCCTGGAATCCACAAAGGACTGAGATTTTCCAAACTGCATACACATCAGGGGCCTCTTCCCTCTCCTCCAGATTACCCTGGGACCCCGCCCCCTTCTCATGCTGTGTGCAGGTTTGCCCATGCCCACCCAGTCCCGCCTTATGTGCCCGAGTCTTCTCATTACTCTCCACCTTGAAGGGCAAAAGCTCTAGCCCGGCTGGTGTGGCTCAGTGGGTTGAGCACAGTCCCACGGACTGAGAGGTCCTGCTCAGGGCACATGCTTGGGTTGTGGGCTTGATCCCCAGTAGGGGGTGTACAGGAGGCAGCCAATCAATGTTTCTCTCTCCCATCAATGTTTCTATCTCTCTCTCCCTTCCCCTCTTTCTAAAAAATCAATAAAAACGGGGGGGGGGGGGGTAACTATCCCCGTGAATTTTTAAAGTGTCTTTTACATATGTCTCTAGCTTATAAAATTTCTCCCCGAGTCCTGGATGAGGGTAAGGAGGAAGAAATAACATGTAGTGACATAAATGCCATAATAATGTGGAAAGTCGGTTACAATGTTAGTTTTTTGTTTGTTTGTTTTAATCCTCACCTGAGGACATTTTTTGCATTTATCTTCAGACAGAGCGGGAGGGAGAGAGGGGGGAAGAGAGAGAGAGAAACATAGGTGTGAGAGAGACACATCGACCGGATGCCACCCACACAACCCCAACCGGGGCCGGGGACAAACTGCAACCAAGGTACATGCCCTTAGCGGGAACCAAACCCGGGTCTCTCTGGACCGCAGGCCGACGCTCTAACCGCTGAGCCAAACCGGCCAGGGCGTTTTTTAAAAAGCAGTTTATTAAATAAAACATGCTTTAGGATTCCCTTAAAAATTGCATGTATACAGAAAGACTAAAAGAATCTCCACACACACCCCTTTTTTAAAGTTAACATGGGGTAGTAAGATTATAAGTGATTTCTAGTTTCTGTGTTTTGCTTATTTGTATCTTTGAAATATCCTACCACAAAAATCTGTTACTTGTTTAAGGTAATAAATCTACTGTCCTAAGTGCTTAAACAAGATTCCAGAGAAGTAAAAATTGTTTCTATCAGGCCCTGGCTGGGTAGCTCCGTTGGTTAGAGCGTCATCCCCATGGTTGTGGGTTCCATCCCTGGTCAGGGCACATACAAGAATCCACCAATGAAGGCATAAATGAGTGGAACAACAAATCCAAGTTTCTCTCTCCCTCCCTTCCTCTTTCCCTTTCTCTCTCTAAAATCAGTAAGTTAAAAAAGTGTTTTTAAAATTATCTTTATCACTACTGAATTATGCCCCTTTTGGGTTAATATGTCAAGGGGCATTCTGTTTGCAAAGATGATTTTTTTTTTTTTTTAATCCTCACCTGAGGACATTTTTTCATTTTTTGCACAGATAGAGTGGGAGGGAGAGAGAGAGAGAGGGAAACATCGACGTGAAGGGACACATCGAGTGGCTGCCACCCACACGACCAACCAGGGCTGGGGACACACTGCAACCGAAGTACGTGCCCTTAGCGGGAACCGAACCCGGGTCTCTCTGTACCGCAGGCGGATGCTCTAACTGCTGAGACAAACCAGCCAGGGCTGCAAAGATGATTTTTGAGGGGCGTGGGAAGTTGGCGGTCCCGGGGAGTCTGGGGTGGATGCTCAGGGGTCTGGAAGGGCAAGTCTGGCTGGCTCCCTGGGGAGAAGCCGCCCCACACCACTGAGTGTGGGCTGCAGCCTGGTGGTGACCTGGAAGGAGAAGCAACTTCCGGAGCAGGGCATGCAGCTCAGGCCCGGCCACGGGGCCCCATCCGAGCAGCTCGGGGACAGGCCGGCCGGGCCAGGGGTCCGGGCCGCACTCACCGAGACCATCCTGCCCTCGGAGGGCATGAAGGCGGGCCGGTTGCTGAGGCGCAGCTTGGTCTGCAGCGTGTTGAAGTTGATCTCCAGCTGGCACTTCTCCTGCACCTTGGGCGGCTTGTGCAGGCGCCGGTAGTCGCGGAAGTCCTCCAGCTTCTGCTGCATGGCCTGCATGGTGTTCTCGGGCGCCCGGTTCTCCAGCCACGGGATGGTGCGGCGGATCCACTCCAGCAGCTGCGGGACCGGTCGGGGTGTGAGGGTGCTGGGCGGGAGGGGCGGGGGCCAGCTTCCCTCTCCTCCAAAGTCCCTGCCCACACAGCAGGCGCTGGGAAGGGTCTCTCCTGACAGCCCTCTTTCCTGTACACCCCGAGGCTATCCCGAGGCTATCCCCAGGTTCCGGGGTGTCCCTTCTGATAGCCTGGGCTTCGTGAAACCTGGCCCTACGGTGTTTCAGCCACAGCAGGCGCCACAGCCTCCCGCTCTGCAAGGGAAGAACCGCAGGCCTGGGAAGGGGCTCCACTAGGAGCAGGAGAGCTGAGTTCTAGCTCTGGGCTGACGGCCTGGCTGGGCCTCCGTCTCCTCCCTAGACCGTGGACAGGGTTAGCGGCTGTTCCCGGAGGGCCTTGCCACCCGACCTTCTAGGATTCTAGAATGTGGCCCCTGACGCAAAAGGGAAGCGACTGGCTGGCGGGGCACGGCCAGGAAATGGCCTGGACTGTATTCCTAACGAGGTGGGTGGAGGGCAGCGGAACGAATGACAGGAAGTGCAGTGGTCACCTGCAAAGTGCCAGGCAGGTCTCCCCAGACAAATCATCTGAACAGTCACAGGGGTCCTGCGGGTCACTGCTGTGATTCCCCACCCCCACCTTACAGACAGGCAGCCAGACCCGGGAGGGTCTGTGACTTGCCAAGGGCACCAGCTGGAACGGTGGAGCAGGGATCACACCCGGGCACTTGGGCTCCGGAACCTGGGGTCCTACTATGCTGGAGGGCCGACCCACCAAGAGGCGGGGCTGAGCTGGTTAGAAAGCCGCATTCTTTTACGGAAGCAGCAGGTGGAACCTTTAAACCCAAATGTAGTCAATGGCAGAACAGCAAAGCCCTGGGTGGGCCAGCTAGCCTGAGCCAGCACTTACTGACCCGCAGTTCATGCCCTCTCAGAACCAGGGGAACTCGACTTCTAGCTCAAGCGGCCCTCACAGAGCCGTACACCAGGCTGGAAAGGCCTCCGAGACTCCTTGGCTCAAGTCTCACTTGACAAGTGAACAAACCAAGACCAGAGAGGTAAAGGGATTTCCTAGGCTCACTGCTGGCGACAGAAAAAGCTGGGAACTCTCTCTCCGAAGTCCAGAGATTGGCCTCTGACCCACCGCTCTGCTTTCTGGGAGGGCCCACGTGGAGCCAACACTTCCCTGTGTCCACTGTCCTGGGATCACATACTACACCCAGCCTGGGACTGTGCTCCAGGGATGGATTTGAAGGTACAGGTTCTGGGGCTCCCTTTTGTCCTGAGGTGGGGTGGCAGGGCCTTGCTGGGGCCAGAGGAACCCAGGGGTACCCACATCACTGGCCAGCTTCTCGTAGTCTTCCATGAGCTGCTCATTCTCCTGGTTGACGGCCAGCACCTTGCAGATACGATTGGCTGCTGTCTCTGCCTGGCAACAAGACAAAGGTCACAGTCAGCCACTTGCAGCAGCAGCACCTGGTACACAGGTATGCCGACAAAGCCCCTCCCACCCCTGCACATTGCTTGCCACCTCACCCCTCCTCACCAGCCCTGTTTGCCAGCCCAGGCCCAGTCCCACGGATCAGGGAGGCCAGAACAGAGGTCTCGGTGGCTGGACTAGGCTCCTGGAGAAGGGCCGGAGTTTGAGACCCAACATACATGTTGGGAAGAAACTAATCCAATGACTGATATCATCAAAACACCCAGGGCAGGTGGCGAGGTGATTTCATGCCCGGAACTCCAAGTGGACGCCCTGGATCCCAAGGCCGGATTTGCTAGGATCTTGGAGATGCAGGAATTCAAACTGGGGAGTCCCGGAATAAGTTCTGACTGAGAAGCAATGGAGCCTCTCCGATCCCTGCAGAATCTCTAAAGGCTCCTGGCCCAAAGTTCAAAGCAGTTTAGAGAAAAAGGGGGGACCCACTACTGCACAAAGGGCAAGGCTGCAGGATCAACCGGCATAGGCAGGGTGCCCAGACAGTAGCATGGGCACTGGGCATGCAGCCCCCCGAGAGGGGGGCTCGGCGGCCAGAGGAACGAAAGGGGGACTGACTGAATGGCAGCCACACACAAAGGCCCCGAAAGCCCAGGGAGACGCTGCCTTCCCCAGCCGTGGGGGGCACTGTGCCCCTAACACCAGCAGGACCAGGCGTTCCCAGCACACTTCGCCCGGGTGACTTTCACAGTCAGCTGTGTTCTTGTGCACATTCTAACCCAACTTCAAGGGAGGAGAACGCGAAGTCTTTGGGGACAGCCTGGGGTGAGCGCGGATAATGCCTGTGACAGAGAAGCATCTGTGGCCCCAGAGAAGTGCGACCCTGCTGACAAAGTGCGACCAAGCATGACAAGGGCTCAAGGACAGAAAGATGGGACCTCACAACTGACTGATGAACCAGACAAAATGGGTTTCTACTGCAGCGAGACAGACTAAGGCTAGGCATAAAGAAGAACTTTCTGAGAACGAGAAAGGAATTTGCATTGAGAAGGAATGACTAAAAATGTGTAAATGTTTTTTCCTTGGAGAATTTCTCGAATAGGACATTCGCCCACCAAACCATGGATTTACGGGTGACTGTGCTGGGATGTGTGTGTGAGGGGGCAGAATGAGATCATCCCAAATGTCCTTTCACTCCAAGTCAAGAGACTGCATTTTTCAGGGCGCGGTGTTGGAACGGGTGGGCCTCCCGTAAGACGTGGGAATGCTCAGAGGGGTCTCAGAGCCCCTAGTCTCAATAAACTGAGGGGAGTCCCAGCCTAGACCCTCGTCCCCGCCCCTCAACGCTGCTGGAAATGGCCCGGCTACTCACACCCAGAACTCCCGACGGATCGCCCTTCCTTCGGAGGAACAGTAAGTGACCATGGGGAATCCCAAGATGTGACCAGGAGGGAAAGTCCTTCCCGGAGCCTGTCCCAGAAGATGTGGGGCCCTGGAGGACGGTCACGGGAACCAGGCTGGCTGGGGTTAGCAACCGGCCTGGAGGGCCAGGGCAGGGCACCAGAGGACAACACTGTCCTCTGTGCTGACATTTCTGTAAGAACGTGGGTGGCCGCAAAGACCCCTGCCCAATGCGCTGACCAAGTGGGAAAAAAGAATCAGGGGTAAGGGGGCCACTCATCACAGCCCAACAGCAACTGCCGCTGTGACGTTTCATGGATAAAGCCCCCTCCTCCTTATCCCCCCACCCATCCCGATTCATCCTGAAACCCTGCGCTCCAGAGTCGGTTCATTAAACTGGCAGACTGAGTGGTGTCTGTGTCCGTGGGACTTTAGGAGACAAGTCCTATGAGCCCCAGGAGCCTGCCCATCCCTCAGAGCTGTTGGCGGTTCCAGGGTCAAAGGGGGCTCGGCTCCTTGTGGACAAGTCTGGGGAGTTCTAGTGTGGGCCTCCTGGGGACTTGTCACAAACACCCACTGCTTTGCCCAGCCTGCCCGCGCCAGGCTGGCCTCGCCAGGGCAGACGGACTGACCAGGAAATCTGCCTTCGGAAATAAAGCACGGCCATCACGGCATAGAGAAGGCCTTTAGAAAAGGCAGTGGCCTATCTGCAAACTCCATCTGGTCGCCTCCCCCTCGAGGGACAGCCAGCTCCCACTGACCGGACGCGGGCTGGAATGCAGATTCGACTTCAGGAGAAACCACAGGCAGAATCTTCAGAACCCTGGCCCTGGCTGGCCCTCCCTGCTCAACCCCCCCACAAGCAGGCAGGCGGCCCTGCAGAAGCCTGGTAGACGCTGGGTCTCACTTGCTCCCACAGGGATCCCTGTACAGAGAAGGGTTCAGTCACAGGTCGGAGAACAGCCCAGGAAGGACAAACCTGGTAAGGCCCCAGGACAGACCCTGGGCTGAAAGGCAAGAGCGAGTCCTGAGGCTGGAACCGAGGCCTGCCCTGCTGTCCCACTGTCCTGGGGCTTGAGCTTCTCCTCCCATGGCTACAGGACCCCCAGGCAGACAGACGTTCAGGAGAGAGCACCCAGCATCGCCGTGTCTTAAAGAGCCTGCTTCCGTTCAGAAGCTCAAAGGAGAGACTTGTTCTGGGGGGAAAAATTCACTCCCCGAGAGAAACCCAGGAACTGAGGAGATGACAGGCTTGGCTTCGGGCTATTCCGCAGGAGGAAATGGCACCCAGGAGCGGAATGGCCAGCCCTTTCTGAGGGGGCCAGAACTTTCACGAACTGAGGGATGCAAGCACAGGTCACCACTGGGCTGAGAACATTGTTACAGGAACAGCCAAACTGACGACTTCCAAGTGCCGAAGGAAGAAGACTTGTAGCAAGTTGTGTTTACCTTTCCTTGATTCGTGTTTGCATGACCCACTCTAAGATGCACTATCTTACAACCTAACACAGTAACGCGTTTGGTTTTGCGTTCGTTACTTTTTTAAAAGCATGGACCGTGACTCCGAGTCCTTAGAGACCCCAGCTGTCACTCGCAGCTGCCCCAGCACAGCGCTGCCCCAGCATCAGCTGCTCTGATGACCAGCTTCACACTCGCCGCCACAGGTGGGGTCTGGAGAGGAGCCGTCCCCAAGGAAGGTGACATCAAACAATGTGGCCAAAGGACATAGCACCTACAACCCACAGATTCCTATAAACGCCACGAAGATCTCATCTGTGACATTTTTATTTGCACGTTTCCCAAATCTAACCAGAACTGCCTATTTCCTTCCTCCCCAGTCAGCGCCCAGTCCCAGGGTCCCTGCCAGCGAGCCCCCCAGAGGTCAGCCGACTGCTCGGCGGCTCAGCCCTGTCGCCGCTGCCGTCCCTGGTTTCCTCTCCCTGCTCCGGGCCAGCACGAACGTGCTCTCCTCTCCTCCTCTGTCCCACCTGGAAGCTTCTGCAGTGGTGGTCGCCGCCTCAGCAGCTCCGGCTGCCTTCCCACCCTCCCTGAGCCTTTCATCGTGGACCCTCAGCCAACCCTAAAGAACCTCAGTGCCTGCTGCTAGAAGCCTCGTGCCCAGTAGCCCTGCACCTGCCCCCACCCCACCCCCGGCTCCATCTGCAGCACAGCAGAGCCTGGTCAGACAGCAGCCACCTCGACTTCTTTCATTAAGGGTTTTCCCAGATGGACGGGGGCTCCTTCAGGACAGCTGGGGGCTTCTTCCCTGGAGAAGATTCACAGTGGAGGATGCAAACAGCACCATGTCCTCCTAAAACCATCCAGAAACACCTCTAGCAGATCCACTCCATGAGACCACGACTGTGAGCTTTAAAAGCTTTACAAATGGCATAAATAAAATCTGCTTGTTCACTACCTATTCAAAACCCCTACCGGGGAAGAGAGCTGAGAAAGAACCAACACCAATGGGTCAAACAAAACCGGTCCTCCCCTGACTTGGAAAAGCTCCTGCGCATGTACTGCTACACATGCACACACGTGTACACACACGCACACACGCGTTACGCTCTGCTGCCTTTCTAGTTCCACCACCCGAGGCTTGACGAGAGAAAGGCCGTCGCGGGGATGGAGGGCACTGGGCATGGGTTTCTGAAGACTCCCCCCATTGGCTCCGGACGTGGAGACAGTCAAGAGAAGAAAAGTGTGTGAGTCTGAAGAACCCTCCTCCTTCCCCAGGAGACGGGAAGAGTCCCTGCCAATGGCCTGCCTGGCTCTGGGCACTTGCCTGAATCCTTAGCAGTGGGCAGGGGCAGCTCTGGGTGAGGCCCTGGCCCAGTCCCCCGTCACTCCCCTCACACAACCAGACCTTGTCCTCAGACGTGGACGACGGGAGCATGAAATGGCTGCACAGGGGTGAGCGAGGGAGGGAGCAGGGGACAGGTGGCACGAGATGGGGAGGGAGGGAGCAGGCTGCCACACCCACGTCACACACACCCCCTCCGAGCACCATCAGCAGCCAGGACACAGGGAAGGCTTCAGAGACAGGGAAGGCCAGGGTCAGCAGGCATGAAGCCCAGGACAGAACCCCTGAGAGAGGAGAGGAAGAGGAAGAGGCGGTGGCAAGAAGGAAAAGCACAGCAGGGAGCTCAGCCCAGCCATGGACACGGGCAACCAGACGGTCTGGGGTTGTCAGGGCTGGGAGGCCCCCGAGGCAAGTCGATCGATGCTGCTCACATCCTGGCTAAAAGGTGGGGGGAAGAGGGGCGGGAAGACACTGACGAGAGAGCAGCAGAGGAGGGACAGGGAGAAGGAAGCCAGAGGCAGGCCAGGGAGGAGGCTGCCAGGAGCCGAGAGGAGCTGGGCATCAGGGAGCGCTGGCAGCCCCGGTCCCGTCAGCGCCAATGAGGCCCGGAAGGAAGGTGAGGAGGGCCTTGGGTGCCCAGCCAGCTGGGAACAGGGCTGCCACTAGCCCCGATGGGGCCTCTGTGTCATTTTTTAAAGGCGCCTCTTTTGTAATGTACTTCTGCTGAAAAACTCACACTGATTATGTGAGAAGATATTCCTACTGCCATCTGTGGGGTTTCAGTGACATTCAAACCGCTGTATGGCACACACCGGGCACCCCTGTACAGTGGGCAGCCTGCCCTGCTGTCCGTGGCAGGCCTGGGTGGGGAGGACCAGGCAGGGCTCTGAGCCTCCGGCCAGGACGCCAGGGACACGGCAGGAAGACGGTCTGCCCGGATGCTGGGGGCGAGAGGATGGTCTTGCCTCGGTGGGAAGGAGGGAGAGAGAAGCGAGGGGCCTGGATGTTTAGGGGAACAGTCAGGAGCACAGCCCCAGCAGTGCTGCTGGGGATACAGGCTCTACCCAGGGGAGGCGCTGAACCGTGAGCTGCCTTCCGGCTCGTGACGTCCACGGTGCCCGGCATGTAGGGACGGGGATGCAGCGGTCATCAGAGGCTAGGGTCTCTGGCACCTTCAAGTGTCCTGGCCAAGGTCAGAGAGCGTCCAGCCCCCTGAAGGAGGCGGGTTCGCTAATCCCTCCCTTCATTCAGGGCTGCTGCTGGGCTCTCCGGGAGGAGGAAGAGGCGGGCAGAGGCCGCAGGGCGAGCGGGCGAGGCGAGGGGAGCTCACCTTCTGCGCACCCGAGAAGGCGCGGCAGACGTGACTTAGGTCACAGGGCCTTCCCATGCCGCCTTAGCGTGCCTACACATCTGCACGGAGAAGGAGAAGAGGTTGAGAGGAGCCAGTGGGCAGCAGCAGACAGAGTACAGCACAGCAGCCACGTGGACAGACAGAACACCAGACAGACGACAGAAATGAGGGAGTGGGCAGAAAGAGGGGGGAATGAGATGGTGGGAGAGATCACAGGCTGAGACGGGGAGGGAGACAGAGCATCGGGGGAGACTGGGCAGAGGGGGACGCCCCCCCATCATGCACGTCAAGACCGGTCACTCGGATGCCGGGCCGAGGTGGGAAACGTGCCTGAGCACGTGAGGTCCGCGGCCGTGAAGGCCCAAGCCTGTGGCCCGGTGCTCATGGTGACCTGGACACTGCGCTCCTGGGTCCTGCCTGGGAGGGAGCCTGGGAGAGGGGCTTCTGCTGCCTGAGCTTAGCGTGGAGGGAGAACATCTCCCACGTCTGCGGGTGAACGATGCCCTTCCGTTGTGCCACCCTGTTCTGTGAGAACAAGTATAACTGGACCTTAAGCTCAGGCCTTCCTGAGCAAAACTGGGCCGGGACACCTGAAGGGGCTCCCAGCTGCCCATCCTCGCTCCTTCCCTGCAAGGGTTGGTGCATATGTGCAGGAACACAGAGCGCCGCGTGCATGGGGCCCAGGCAGGACACAGGAGAAAGGGCCAAAGCCCCGCGGGGCTGGGCACAGTTCTGCTAAATCCTGTCCACGTGGGAGAAAGCTGGGGGCTTCGAGACACCTCCCCAGAGCTGCCTCCCCAGGGGCAGCCCCGCTGCTCTGCTGAAGCCGACAGCTCCCGCAGAGGCGGGCCCGACGTGCATACTGCCCACGGAGCCTTCCAGAGCCCTGGCTGCTCGCACCCATGCAGCCTTCCTGCTGAAGACAGCTGTCTGGGTCCCAGTTTTCTGCGAGAAGCAGGGGAGGTGGGAGAAGGAGCAGGGGTGCAGAGTGGGCGTGGGCTGAACAAGAATGGCCACGCTGGCACCAGGGGCTACTCTATCGAAGAGACAGACAGACCATCCTCCCATCACCGGGGCGGGGGGGCGGGCAAGGAGGGCATGGTTTGGGGTCTGGCATGAGGTGTGCTGGGCAAGGAAGGAGCAGGGATCCCCAGTACCTTCTGGGCACCAGAGAAGGCGTGGTAGAAGCTGGACACATAAGTCATGATGGCTTTCTCATCCGGTCGGGCGGTCCCGACGATGTCTGTCAAGAAAAATGTGGCGTTAAAGCCGGTCGGTGAACACACGGTACACCTCCCAACGGGATGCTTCGAGAACACCAAGTCTTCTTGCCAAGACACTGAGCCTGAATCCAACCAGCTTCAGCATCGCTTCCACGTGCAGGAATGTGAGAGGCAGAGGAATGATATGGTGCCCCGAGGAGCAGACAGACAAACCCAGACTAGGAAACATTCCAGGGGCAGCTGGCCCGGTGGCCGCAACACGCGCAACGGCAGAAATAAAAGGGGCAGGAGGGAGGATAAAATTGCTACCAGTTAGAAAAGACACCAGAAATATTATAACTAAATGCCATGTGCAGGCGTAGGCTGGATCCTGATTTAAACCAACCAACTCTATGCCCGGCCGGTGTGGCTCAGTGGTCGAGCGTCGACCCATGCACCAGAAGGTCGCTGGTTCGATTCCCAGCCAGGGCACATGCCCAGGATGTGGGCCCGATCCCCAGTGGGGGGCCTGCAGGAGGCAGCCAGTCGATGTTCTCTCTCTCCCTCTCCCTTCCTCTCTCGAAAATCAATAAAGAAAAAAAAAATTTTAATAACTAAGCAAACAAACTCTAAATAGAGACAACTTTGAGCTCAGTCCGCGCTGCACGGCAGGTGCAGCAGGGTCCCTGCCGCCGCGCCAGGTGTGAGCACTGCCTGGAGGCTGTGCCCAAGGGGAGCCTGTTTCAGAGGCACCGTCTGGTGACAGCAGTGAAATGCTGCGACCTCTGAGGTCTGCTCTGAAACACTTCAACACAGAAAACAAATACGGAAAAGAAAAAAATAAGACAAAATCTCAACTGCTCTGCTGGATGACAGGTATGTACTTCGCTCTCTGCGCGCGTGTGTATCTGAAATGGCCCCACACAGGCAGACCGACACTGCCACAATCGATCACATCTCCCATCTGGCTCCGAAAGAGCCAGTCATCTTTCCAGCGTCAGCTGCTCTTCCATAACTGCCTGGTCTCCCGCACCTCCCGGGAAGTTAGGTGTGTCCAGAGACAGCCCTCGCCCCCCAGGTTACCCCTCACTGAAGACTCCCCGCCGGTGTGCAGTGCGTGCGTTCACACACTGTGTCTGCTTTTCTCTTGCTCATCTGTTTGTCAGTCTAATGAATGGGGCCCCAGCTGAGAACTTGGGAGAGCAGAGGGGAAAAGCTGTTTCTCCTCCCCCGCACCCCGCCCCGCCCAGCACCCACCACCCAACTCCGAGACAAAGGTGAGACCCGTCCTCAGACAGTCGGTGAAGAGACCGCCTCCAAGCACTGTCCAGCACCAGCTGTCACTTCGCCCTCCAAACTTCAGGGAACCAGAATCCCTGACAGGCAGATGACCCCCGAGACCTCCCAAATGAGGACCCATAGACCAGGCCCTCTCCCGTCCCACCTGGGGCTGCGGGGACCCACCCCACTTGGCCTCTGGGCGGCCCAGAAAGAAAGCGCCTTTACCTTCAGCATCTAGCATCTTGGGGATGTCCAGGTACTTCTCTGCCACGTCGAAGGCCGTGTTCAGATTTGTGAGGGGATCGTCCTAGAGGGGAAAGAGGGCAGGGTTAGACGCGAGAGGTACGACGAGACGTGGCCCCATCTGGGCGATCACCAATTCTTAGGGCAGAGGGGACCACTGTAGCCTCTTCCACACTAGGTCCTCAGGCACCAGCTCTCCCTGGCCGGGGGCTTAAACCTCCACCTTTCCTCCTCAAGCCTTCATTTCTCTGTCAGAGAAGTGGGGTGAAGGACTGCAGCTCAGGAAAGAACTGCTGAGACTGAGTGTGAGGGCAGGGCACTGGCCTGGCTGCCGTCTGTCTCCGCTTCCGGTTTCCGCTCTGCCACCAGGAGCGTGGCTGGACACCGACCTGTGTCCCCATCTGTCACTGAAGAGCTGGGCTAGGAGCTGTTGGTGCTCACAGTTCATGAAATCTGGGGGGCTCCCTCAAACAGCTACAACCCTCCGACTATTCTGATTTCTGCTACGTTCTTAAGAAAACGTATTTGGGGTCGGCGAGGACGCGGGGGAAGCGGGGCTGGCGCTCCGTGGGCGGGACGGAGGGGGCGCGCTGCGGTGGGAAAGCGTGGAGGGCCCGGCCAGAGAGCCTGGAGCGGTCGGCGGGGTGGCCGCACACCAGCGCACACCTAAGCTGCACGTAAACTGGCCGCAACGGTAAGCCTCATGTCATGTCTCCCTCACCACAGCTCAGAAAAATAATTTTTACGGGGGATAAAAAGCCTACAACTTAGTTGAGGTAGTTCCTTGTGGGCCCTCCCACTCTACTCTTGGTTCCCCAGAATACTCTGAAGCAAGGACTCGGTTTCCCCTGCGCTAAGGTGAGAATTGCAGGGCATAGGAATCAAAATACATGCACTTGGGATGCTTTCCGGAAGAAACTGCTAAGGAGAGGAGGAGGGGGTCTTCTGGGAGAGCCTCCACCGACCTCCAGTATGCCGAAAACACTGCCAAGCGGTGAAGGTCATTTCTGTCCAAGGCCTTAAGCAGTCCTCAGGTCGGGGTGCAGACCCGCCTGCCCCACTGCCTTCCCAGGGCCTGCCAGGCCCCCACGCCCACCGGACGCTGGTGTAGGAGCAGGAGCTCCCCGGTCAGAGCCCCTGAGCCCTCCCCGTGCCCAAGCCCCTGGGCATTCTGGGAAGGACCTATGGTTCGGTGGGACCAGGTCTGTGCTAGGATTTGGGCTGGGTTTTATTGATACTACTGAATTAAAGAGATGGGGAGACAGACACGGCGAAACAGGGAGACAGAAAGACACAGAGAGGGACAGAGGTGGGGACAGAGCTGGCTGTGTATCCAAAGGCCACTGGACTCCCAACTCCCAGATGGCAGAGTGTGGGGTGGGGAAGGGGGCAGCAGAGCCAGTCAGCACGCCCGTTTTACATGGGGGCGGAACAGCTATGGAGTGACTGGTTGCCGCCACCTCAGCACACCCACACGGGGACACACGCACACCTGTCACCAACAGGCAGCAGCTGAAGGTCAGGAGGCATGTGATGCCTTTGAAAGGAGAAAATCGCCACCTTTATCAGCCTCTGCCGTGTGATTTGGCCAGACAGCTTTCAGGTGGTTGAGGGAGTTTTTACACTGACATGTTTTTCTTTGCAAAGCAGCTGAGTTGGCGGGCTGGGACCCTCCTCTCCCCCAAGAGACTAGCCACCAGCGTGTCAGGCCGTATCACCGTGAAGGCGCCCGATCCCCAGGAGACGAGCTTGGGAAGGGCTGCCCGTTGTCCACACCTGGACACAGCCATGAGCAGGGCCAGGCAGCGGGCTACTTCCTCAGGGCCTGGCCCTTCCAGGTGGGCAGAGCCCCAGCCTCAAGCCTCAGGCCGACCTGAGGACGCCCCGAGGGGATGGGACCCTGTTCCTTTCCTCCAGCAGCTCGCTCTCCCACACCCTGCACGGCCGCGCCTCCCTCCCTGAGCCGCCAGAGCAGCCCACACGGGCAACATCGAGGCCCCCTGGCCACAGAGAAGCAGCAGAGGCTCCTCACGGGGGCACAGGTGAGGAGGGGTCTTCACTGAACACCGCGCCCCCGTGCCGAGGTCAGGTGGAGAATACAAGAACAGTCGTTCCCCGAAGCTGCCGTGCCGAGGTTCGAGCACCGACTGGCCACATTCCAGCTCTGAATCGTCAGCTGGCGGCCTGGGGCGGGCTCCAGGGTGGCCTCCCTCACGATGCCTGTGCCACGGGGCCGAGGCACGGGCTGGGCCGAGAGGGAGGGTGGGCTGAGCACGGTCCCCGAGGTCTAGGCCAGCTCCCTTAACCAGCCTGGACGCGAAAACCACCACGAGGCTACAGACACAGCTCAGCCCCGGGCTCCTGCTCAACACACACACTCGAGAAAACCCTCCAGCAGCTTCAAGCAAAAGGGTAAGTGAAACCAAGCAGCAGCAGGAGAAAGCCCTGTAGCCACACTTCAGCAGCAAGGACACCAAACCCATCGTGGGAACCGGCCCCGACAGCACAGCGAGTCTCGGACACAGCTGGGGTAAGTGACTAGGAATGTGCAGTATTTTACATTATGAAAGTGATGGATCCACCTTATAAAAGCAGGAAGGGGGGGGAAGCACCGCTGCGGATGCTGTGACCCTCACAAAACCTCCGCAGTGGCTCTTGCACGTCCTTGCGGGCAAGTTCACGTGCTGCACAGAGGGTGCTGAGGCCACCCCAACGGGAGGGCGTTTTCTCCTACTTCCAAACAGGCGGTCGTCTCCGCTAACCGAAGGAGACGGACACCCCTCGCGCTGGACCACGGCCCTCAGAGCAGCCCTCAGAGCGGGACCCAGGCCTGCCCTGCCCAGCTGGTCCGGGACCAGCGCAGGAGCTGGCAGGGGGCAGTCCAGGGAGCACGCACCTTCCGCAGCTTCCCGTAGTCAATCAGCTCAGGCCGGTGTCGGTGGATCAAGGCACAGAAGCCAAGGCCGTCCTTCCAGCTGCGGGGGAGAGAGGGCGGGGGAGCTGGCGAGTGGGGCCAAGCACTAACCACAGGGGAGGCACTAAGCAGGGGCCTCGTTTTCCCTTCAGAGGAGCAATCAGGAGACAGGATGGGCAGGAACATCTCCCTCTGCCACAACCCAGCACTGGGGTCAAGCCCCTAAGGGGTTGGCAATGTGAGATACACCTGCCACGTCCCACCAAGGCCAAGGCCTGTCTGCCCAAGGCTGGGACGTCCCGGACACTCTCCCTGGGGAGCTCCCCAGGCCGAGCACAGCCACAGGTGTAGGAGGCAGTAGCTCATCCGAGACACCGCTGGGAGGGAGAGGGGGCAAAGGGTTGGCGGCACTCCGTTCCCGTGAACAGTGACTTCTTCCCCAAGGGCCTCTGCTCTGTTCCAGAGCTGGGACTGACCAGCCAAGGGGGCCGGTGGGGCCTTGGGGGACAGAGACTTGGTTCTGTAAGAGCCCCCCAGCTTCCGGTCACTCACCTTATGTGGAAGTTCTGGATGTTGACGTTTTTATAAGGGGCTGTCTTTCTCTGACACCACAAGAGCAGCCCCTCCTTCGCCGAGGTCTCTGTGGGGAAGGGGTGACAGCAGAGGGGTCGGGGGGCTGGCTTGGCGGAGGGAGGGCTGTTGACTCAGGGAGGCCCCACCTTGCCGGCCAGGCCCATGCCCTTTCACGTAGGGGTTCCCACAAAGACCCCAGAGTCCAGCCCTGCGGCTACCGGGCCATGAAGCCCATTTCCTTGGCAAAGGGTGAGACCCCGACACAGGAGCCAGCAGGAGGCTCTGCAGAGCGAGCTGCATCACGCGCTGAAATGCTGGCCTTTCAGACCATCTCCCTGTCACTCCCTTTCCGTCAAGCAGTGGTGACGATACAAAATGTGTGGGCAACCTATGTCAGGTGGCCACTTGGGGAGGAAGATTTGACTGGTCTACAAAATCTAAAACCCAGAAATCTCTAGACGGGCGCGTGCGCCCTGCCTGTGGGAAGAAAGCATTAGGACTCCTATTCGGATTGAGTGTTCCTCTAAAAATTAAGGTCTCCTTCTATTTAATGCATGGATCAACGCAACGGCGCTGGTGTGTGTGAGGGGAACACGTGTCTCTCAGACAAGGCAGGTCGGTACTGGAGGGGCCCCGGGAGCTCCCAGAACAGCAGGGCTGCCGACCACACTGCCCCCATGTGTTCACGTCTGTGAATTGCAGGTCGTAGGACCCAGTGAAGTGGCTTCCTGGATGATCTCTTACTTTCAATTCACAAAACGGACTTTAAAATGACATTACATAATTCCTACAAAGATAATACAAGAATTCAAGCACACACAATTTTTTAAAAACCAGCGAAGCTCATGTTTCTACTCTTAGTTCAAGCTTTGTGTCAGCTACAAGATTAAAACAGTAACTATTTAATCAGAGCTGACAAGAGTCTGCCCAGAAGAATCCAACTCAGCAAGCTGTTTGAGAAATGGCTTACATCTACCATCACTAACAAGAACCATGCCCTAAGGGACTACTGTGGGCATCTTTTTAACCACTTCCACCCCCAATACCAAGCATTTACAACCAAACTTAGATCTTCACACCACTGTACCACCAAGGGTCAAGCCAAGATTTCCGTAACAAAGCAACCTGGTCCATTGTTTTCATTAAAAAATTACTTTGAGCCCTGGCTGGTCTGGCTCAGCAGTTAGAGCGTCGGTCCGCAGACCGGAGAGTCCCGGGTTCGGTTGCCGCTAAGGGCACATACCTCGGTTGCAGTTTGTCCCCGGCCAGGTTGGGGTCGTGTGGGTGGCAACCAATTAATGTATCTCTCTCACATCGATGTTTCTCTTTTTTCCTCCCTCTCTCCCTCCCACTCTATCTAAAGATAAAGGCAAAAATGTCCTCGGGTGAGGATTTAAAAAAAGTTACTTTGAATAAAATTCTTTTCAAGATTTATTTAAAGTTTCCATTAAAACGTATTTAAAATATTATCTCCATCTCCTTTTTAAAAAATTTGGCTTTGTGTGTTTTGTTATATGCATGGAAATACATAATATAAATTATGACAAAATAAATACATAGAGCTCAAAAGTTGCTGGAGTGTGGAATCCAGTTTAGAGATCACTGACCTATGGTGGCCCTTGCAGACCTACAAAGTGGCCACCAGAGGGTGCTATGGGCACAAAGTAGAAGACCGGGGGTCAGCTCCCCATCCAAACACACCCTTCTGGCTACTATATCCCTGCCTTTTCAAGATTTAACGATCCAAGAGCCTGGTGGGATTATCATTATACTTCCCCACAGCAACCTTGTGCTCTCTCAAAGTAGGGAATGTCCCTGGAACCAACACACCTGTGGGAACCAGCATCCCAAACAGTTCTACCTCTCTACAGACTAGGAGGGAGGACAGATGACGGAAAGGGGTCAGAAGCTCGAGATGTGGCCCACGATCAAGCCCTGTCACCCTGGCCAGAGAGCGCTCCAGGCTGAGCCCAGGAAGGAAAACGTGACGGTGCAGGCGCGCAGGGGTGGGGGCTTGGGGAAGACCTACCTTCCACAGAGATGTCCTGGATGGCAAAGCGAAGGATGATGGTCCAGATCATGCCCAGGGTCATTTTCGCATTCCCATCCACGATTTCTACAAAAACAGCAGCAAGATAGGTCTTACAGGGGTAGAGTTAGCATTCCCTGAGCGGGAATCAAAGACCGCACCCTGTCCCACTTCTAGAGGGAAGTCAGTATGTTTTCAAGTTCGTGCAATTACATCTCACAGGTGACAAGATCTGGAGGTGCCGTGGAGGCACAAGGTGGTAAACGAGGGGTGTCCTGGGGGTACAAGTTGGGTGTGGTCAATCCTACTGGGTACATCAGGAAAGATCAGAGAGAAGGGGGTGTGTTAAACCCTGAGCAGCGTCCACCGGCCTGACGGACGGCGGGAGGGTTGCTAAGCCATCACAGCTGTTATGGCAACTCAGCTAAGGACCTCTGGGCAGTCGCAGCTGTCAAAACAGCCGTCACACTCATCAGGCAACAGAAAGCACCAACCTAACAAGGGTTTGCAGAATGCCACCTTGACGGATCCGCTAACTCACGCATCAACCTCGTAATGCCACTAATTGGGCATTTCTTTAATGAAAAAAATTCAAACCGCTTCAAGATCACAGCTACAAGATACCCCACTAAATTAAGTCTACGCAACATTTTTCAACTTTTAAAATGCTATAAATTCAGTTTAGTAATTTTCTTCTGTACCAGACAATACAAACATAAATAAGCCCTATCTGGAAGCGCCTAAGACAGAGTATTTGTGGTCTTGGGGGCTGAGCAGGTGACCACCAAAGGTCGACTCCTTATCCTCACCCGCTTCCAGACCAGGAGACGGTCACCTGACCCTGTGGCGAGGTAGTCCCCGTGAGGAGTGAGGCACCCGAAGAATATCTTATTTTTCCCTACCTGCCACACTAGTGTTTAGGGGGAATCATGAGAAGGAGCAGTACCTGGGAACCCCTGGTTCTCTGAGCACACGCCCACCAGAGTATACTTCCCACAAACCCCTTACACAGAGTAGATGCTATTAAGACTCCCTTCCTTAGAAGGGAGGAAAAAACCGCAGGCTGCTGTATGACCAACTGGAGGTACAGGGCGTTCTGCTGCTTCCTGCAGAGCAGGGGCTGCTGAGCCTGCCCGAGGGTGCTGAGCAAAGAAGGGGCCTGTCCACTTTGAACACAGGATAGAATGTAATTCTTCCTGCTCACTGGGCTTCAATGCCCCTGCCAGGACCTCAGACACCGCAGGGCCCAGGCAGACACAGCGGTCGCAGCCCGAAACCATCGTCCTGAAGCAGCACAACCGCCAGCCAGCTCTTTGCAGAGCACGCTGTGGGGGGAGTCGGTCAAGGCTCAGTTCACAAAGGTTTCAGATCTTTTAAGTGCCCTTTCATTTGCGACTTCTAATGGTTTCACACCTGTAACTTTTAAAGAATTTATATAAATTGATGAGAAAAAAAGCGTGAATTCACAATAAATAGGCAAATGACATGAATAGACACTTCATGAAATAAAAATAACCCATTCACGTTTAATCTCACTTGTAGTTAAAGAAATAAGATATCGTTTCCCAGCTAGTAAATTAGCAGTTACCGAGAAGAAAAGCATACACCTTGATGGTATCAAGGCGACCACCGTGGCTGGAAGTGGACATTGGCCTAAACCAAAACAAAAACACTTTCTGGGACATGATCTGGCAACGGGAGCAAGCATCTTGAAGCTGTTCAACTTTCTGAGAGTAAATTCTACCCCCAGGAATCTATCCCTAGCCAAGAATGTGGATGCAGACGAAGGCAGCTGTGTGAAAGTTATCTGCCGTGCCCCAAAGAGGAAGCATGTGCATGTACGAATACAGGGCATCCCTGAGGAAATCCCCAGGCCCGGTCACCTCTCTACTCAAAATCTTCATGGCTCCCCCTTCACTGAGTCCAGGCCAGTGGCTGGCTGGGCCCCTCGGCCTCTCCTCCGCCACCCCCTCCAGTCACAGCTCTGCCCTCCCTGGACACCCACAGGGCTTGTCCCTCACCTCCCTCCCCTCTCCAGGTCTCCATCCACCCTTTACCTTCTCATGGAACCCTTCCCTGACCACCCACTTTCTCCAGCTCATCGAGGTACGTGTTTTCTCTCCCCCTTCTAGAACATAAGCTCCAGGAGGGTAGTGGTTGTTCTGTCTGCACCACTGCTTAGAGCCCCGCATCACGCCGGCACAGAGAACGCCCTCCATCGACATCTGCCGATGAGTGAACACGGGAGGGCACCCCACACGTGGGTGAATGGGCAGAGGGGACACAGGCCTGTCAGCCAAGAACAGAACAGAACAGAACAGGAAGGGTCTGGATCAGAGCACAGCTGTGCCCAACAAACAGGTGATAAACACGGTCATTAAAATTACATTCACGGGTTTTTAATGACTTGGGGGAAATCTTTATACAGTAATATGGAAAGTAGAAGCAGACGCCACGGAATTTCATGAATAGCATTTTGAATACAAGGGGGAATTTGTTTCCAGTCTAGAAGAAGCTCTAGTAGTGATAGTGCTTCATGCTGGCTTTTCCCAGAGTGAGGACTAGTGTTGGCCCCTACCCGCCCTGCACCCCCACCCTGCCCTATCTGTGAAAGCCCAATACCTGGGCCTCCGCTGGCCCTGGGCTCCGTGCCCTCCCAGCACAGATGAACACAAGGCAGCTTCGTTCTCGGGTCTCGCCTACTTACTCCTCCCCTCCCCGAGAACGCTGCCAGGAGTTCACTTACCGCGCTCTCACTCATACCACAGAGCAGTGTCGCTGCAGAAAACAGAGGAGCCGGGTACAGGCAAAGGGAGGGGTGTCCAGTGAACACCTGGGCACCACCCAGGCCCAGCACCCACCCGACTCCATCCACCTCAGCATCCGACCCTCCTTGCCACCAGCACCTGGGTGCGGAACCGGGGCACCCCTGGCTCACAGGAAGCTTTATGTCAGGGGGCTGCCGGGAATGCTGGGTCCAAAAGGAGGGTCCCAAGGCCACAACTGGGCCCCGTGGGAAAAACCACGAGGGCAGATTAACGTCGTTTGCCACAGGTGTGGGAAGGAGTCAGGCATGTATGTTTCTGCCATTCCTGGTCCACAGTAGCGACGGCTGCTCACATCCTGGGTTTACCAGAAACCTGCTTCTCCCTTCCCTTCCCCCTCCCGGCCCCCAGGGTAACCGTCATGGTGCAGTCCTCAGACAGCAGAAGGAATGATACTGAGGGAATCCTACAGGATGGACACTAGACCCCAGGGTCACTGCCTCCGAGGCCGGCTGCACCTGCCACACCCGCCATCCTAAGGACGGATGCTAAATCACAGCCACCAAGCTGCTGGCGCCCGGACTCATCACACTTCCCCTGCCCAAAGGGCTAAAAAATGTTTTTTTAAATCCTGCTTGGGTCCCGTCACCTGGTTAAATCCCAACCACTCACCCAGGTCAAGGCACAGTCCCATGACCCTAGACATTTGAGAATTGAGGATGGTACAAGAAATCCGAAGTATCTACATTAACCCCTCCCCAAGGCTGCCTCCTGTCTCCACCTGGACATCTTGGGGGCCCCAAGAGCTCCGAGTCCATTCCCGAAGGTTCTGCATGGTATCCACAATCAGCCTGCCCAAAGGTCTCCCTTCCAAGCTGGTCCTGCACTTCAGGGTCGATCAGAGTCCGGTCCAGCACCAAGTGACAATCCTTCAAAGGTCTAAGGTCTTTCGCCCCCACCAGGCCTGGTCCCCTCCGCACAGGATGCTGCTCAGTGAGGACAACCAGCACTGGCTCCCCCAGCCCAACCCCCAGGAAAGCTCGTTGCGGGAGATCCACTCCAGTGCCTTCCATTTCATCGTCCGCAGCAGCCAACTCCACTTCATTAAAATGCACAAACCCATTTGGAGCTCATCTAGCTTCCTGGCTCAGCAGAGCGTCCACCCCGGCATGATCTTGGTGCTCGGCTTGAAACGAGAGATGATTTCAAAGTGGGAGACCTCAGCTTAAAGCACTGGTTCCCAGGGCAGCAAGAAGCTAAGGATTCTCTCATTTTAAAGGAGCTTTTAGGAATCTTTGCAGAAGCGAAGCCTGTGTGAAAGGAACTGGAAAACCATGGCCAGCAAGGTTAAGTGACTTCCCAAAGGTCAGAGGTGGCGGTTCGAGCTTACGTCTTTGGTCCTCACCCCGCTGCTGAGGCGACACAGCCAACCTGACCCGCCACCTCACGGGGAGGAAACCGCACACAGAAGCGCTATCCGCGCCCCTGTGGGGAGGCAGCAAGGCCTGGGGGTGGGAACAGGCTTAGACCTCAGCGCTGGAACTGGAACTGGGTTCAGTCCCAGCTCCGCCACATGGAGGAGTCTGGCCCAGAGCCTCGCCCAGCCACACTGCACACTCCACTCCAGCCGCTTCCCTGGGCCTGGGTTCCCGACCGGGACACGCGGCCGATACCCCGGCCACAGCCTGCTCCAGTGGAAGGGGACCGCCACGTGCACGGAGCTTCCTGTGTCCCAGGCAGGGATCTGGGCCTCAGCAAATGCGCTGCTCTCCCTCCTCCCCTTGGAGCACCAGGTCTTAAAAAATTTTTTTTTCATAGATACATTTTCCTTTCTAAAAATCTGGGTTTCTGGCTAATTTTGGAAAACTGGAAAACCTAGCAGTTCTGGACCTGTGTGCCCACACAGCAACAACTGATTGCATCTACGTGGCAGCTGTCTCGCTTAAAAGGACATGCTGTCCCCACCCGTCCCTTCTGTCCACCCTGGCCCACCTCACACAGCTCCACTTCACTGCACCACAGACCACCTGAGTAGCAATTGCTTTGGCTTCCCATTCCTGTCTAGCTGAAACTTTTTCTGCCAAGTCTTTATTCCTCCCTAAAAGCAAAAACTATTCTTTTCCTCTTATAAAAAGGCAGAGACTATTTTCCCACTCACAAAGCAAATGACCCTGCTGTGTGCACGTCCTGTGAACATTTACTGAGCACCTGCTATGTGCATCACACTGCTAGGAGCGGGGCCACAAGGGTGTAAAAAGCGTGGCCTCTGCCTTGCCGCTGAGGGGTGCTGGGACGCATGAGGCACTACATGTGCCGGCCTCGAGCCAGCCCCGGTCCCTGATAAGCTAGGAGTCAGCAAACTTTGTTTGCAAAGAGCCTGATAGGAAATATTTTTGGCTTTGCAGGCCCATACGGCCTCTGTCGCAACTACTCAGCTCTGCCCTCAATAGCAGGAAAGCTTCGAGGACAGACAGTAAACAAACGGTGCGGCTGAGTTCCGATGTTTACAAAAACCCTCGCCAGCCAGATCTGACCTTGTGGACTGCGGTTTGCAGACCCCTGTGCCAAAGGCTCTCAGTTTGAGGCAGCTACACGAAATCCCTCCATTTCTAGAGAAAAAGAGGATGGGACTTTAAGGTCATCAACCAAAGAAAAGACCTGCTCCTGTGGACTTCCTGAAGCCAGGTCCGACCCTTGTTAGGAGAGGCGCTCTCCAGGGGCATCTCTCTGGGGGTCACGCAGATGCGGATTTGAGTTTTGGCTTTGCCACTTATGATGATGGGACTTTGAGCAAGTTACTTAGTCTACTTAGGCATCTGTTTTCGTGAAATGGAAGTAGCAATTAGAGCCACCTCGCAGGGCTGCTGTGCAGATTAAATGAGATCATGGCGCACAGTACCTGCCACAGGGGGAGTACTCAATAATCACAGCCATGGCCATACCATGAACGAACGAACGAATGAATAATCTCTGGCACGCACAGCTGGTGCCCAACACATACTTGCTGAACCCATGGGGCACAGTCCTGAAGGGACCTGGTTATGACATTCTATTCTGTCACCCCGACCCTCCCCCAGCCCTTCAGAGCCACCTCGGTGCACACAGCAGCGGTGCTATCTCCTTTTAACCATTAAGAATGTGCTAATACTAAGAATGTGCTAATAGCCCGGCTGGTGTGGCTCAGTGGTTGAGCATCAACCCATGCACCAAAAGGTCACTGGTTCAATTCCTGGTCAGGGCACATGCCCAGGTTGTGGGCCAGATCCCCAGTTGGGGGCCTGCAGGAGGCAGCCAATCAATGGTCTTTCTCATCAATGTTTCTCTCTCTCCCTCTCCCTTCCTCTCTAAAATCAATCAAGAAAAAGAAAGAAAGAAAGAATGTGCTAATAATGGTTTAAACTGAGCTTTTAATTTATTTTTAAGTGAAGGAAAAAGAGCCAAGAAGCTACTCTGCGGGGAAACGCTATTAAGAATGTTCCTAAAGGCTTGTGTGCGTCAGGCTCCCTGGGGCTCCGTGGGCCTCAGGACAGCCTTCCTCCACCAACCAGCGTCTGCACCGCAGCAAAGTACAGCCAGGCCTGCAGCTGGGGGAGGTGGCATTTCAAAAGCACAGACGCTGGGACTGGCTGGGGGCAGGTGTCAAGGTGTGGACAGGGAGTGGGCTTTGGGTTTCCAGGGGCGGGGCTGATGGGTGGAGCAGGCTGGGCTTGGATGGAAGGTACTGTTGTTACATGGAGAACCCACAAGGTCAACCACATGGAGATGCCGGGAGCCCCACTTCCAAATGCCCCCAGGGATGTGTGGGCCCAGGAGTCGGGGTAGAAAGGGCCCAGGCGACCAGGAGAGCAGAAACGCGGGCTCTGAGGGGCACCCAGAGGGCAGGCCTTACTCACCTTCAGCTCCGATGGACACCAGCTTGACTCCCTTACTGGCTATGAAGTCCAGGGCCTTGTTGACATTGGAGATCTTGTGCACCCTCATTTTGCCTCTCTCCGGCTTGGCCAGGCGCTCCCCTGAATACAGATCGGAGGGGGGTGGTGAGACACTATTATCCACGAGCCGGGGCTGCTCTCACAACACCCCCATCCAGGGCACGTCTCGGACGGACACAGACTGTGCTCCTCGGGTGTGGGTGAGTGTCACCAGGCAGGGAGTGGGCGGCAGTGCCCACCACGGCTCCCCTTCCCTCCGGCTCAGACCTAACTGCTGTATGCACTCGCCAATTCGGTGCGAAGCCCCCAATGTGTGTCAGGGACGCGGCTGCGTGTCAGGAATACCAGGGTTGAACAAAACCACCTCCTGCCCTCATGTACTTCTGGCAGACCTTCAGCAGAGAAACACACACACACACACACACACACACACACACACCAAGAAAAAGAAATGCTCAGTTAAAACAACTGCCTCAAAAGAGGCTGCAGGAGAGGAGGCGGGCGGGGGATGAGAGTCGCGGGGTGGCGGGGAGGCCCTCTGACAGGCCAGCCTAGGCGGCAGGGAACAGGGATCGAGGCAGAAGGAATGGCCCGTGTGAAGGCCCTGAGCCTGTCTCGTCTAGACTGGGCCTGGGAGAGGGTGAGGGTCACTCCAGAGTATTTTGAAAAAGTTCCCGGTGAGGGGGTGGGTTACATGGAGCTGCCCACAGCATCCCTCTCTCACTTGAGAACCAGGGTGCTTACCCCGTTACAGCCTCTGGTGGGTGCCCTGGGCTCAGCTCCAAGTCACCCCACCCCCTCAGACACTCACCCCACCCTCATCTCCACCTTCCAGTAGGAGCTTCTGCTGCTCAGGGTTCAGGGCCAGAACTGCCTGGAAACAGGAGAGGAGCTGGTTCCCCAAATATCCCATTCAGAACACTTTTATCCCAGAACAGAGGCATCCAGAAACCTCCTGAAACCATTTAAAAAATTTTTATGTGCAACACATGTGCTCATACCTGGGGAAAGGACACATCTTTCCAAGTCTTTAGGAGGTCAGCAACCCCAGAGGCGAGAACCACCATTCGAGAGCCTGAAGCTCAGGACCCTTGCACCTGCCTCGGTCTCCAGCCCAGACCAGCCCCCGCAGCCGTCTGGCTGAGAAGGCGCGAGAGGCTGGGCAGCCGGCGTGCCGGGCCAGGCCCACCCTGTCAGCACAGCACATCTCAGGGGGCCTCCCCTCTTCTAGAGGGGAGCAGGCTTCCTGCTGCAGGCGTCAACTGCTCTGGCAGCTCCCAGGGAGGCACAGCTGGGTTATTATTAAGTCAAGACTTTCCACTCGTGGCTCCCCCAAGGCTGGGCCACTGCCCTGCATCTCCAGCAAGGAACCCGCCATCTTCCTGAGCAGATGAGAAACCACGGGGGCTCCCCGCCCTCGGCTGGATGCAGACAGTGCCACGTGCCAGCCCCAAGGCTGCCCGCGGGAAAGCCCGCCCTCAGGCCCACCCGCTGTGCACCTGGCCGGACTGCCCACGAGGACTGCCCACGAGGCCCGGGGCAGGCAGCAAGGCCAGCGGTTTTCAAACCTCAGTCAGCACAAACCCCCCGGAGAACCGGGCAACTACAGATGTCCAGCCCTGCGCCCTGCTTCCCAGTGTCCGATTTAGGAGGTCGGGGGTGGGGCCGCTGACTCCAGCGTGGGTGGTCCAGGGACCATACTCTGAGGACCTCTGCGGGCAGCAGCCCCTTCCTCCTCCTGTCACCCGGCCCATCTCCAGAGACGCTCGAGGAGGAAAAGGCAAGGTCTCGGTGACGGCCTCCCCTAGCCTCTGGGAAGAGCCAAGCCCGCCTCAGTGCGCACGGGTCCTCCTCGGGTGCGGACCGCCGTTCGGTGGGAACCACTGGTGGTTACCCAGAAAAGCCTGGTGCAGGGTATCTGGTCACTTGGGACACAGAGATGAGGCTGTCCCTGCCACAGGAGCTGTGTGGAATGGGGGTGGAAGGGAGCCACAATGATGAAACCACATGGCAAATGACATGACAGAGAAAGTAATGGGGTGTTATTGGAGCTTGAAGGAGGGCAGCCACTCAAATTGGGGGTGGGGGAGCAAGGAAGAATTCCTGGAGAAAACCTCTGAGCTGAGTTTAAAAGAATGAAAAAACACAGTGCCAGGTTGGTATGTTCAAACTAAGAAAAGATTTAAATGAATAAATGAGGGGTGGGGGCAGCAGAGAAGGACACTCTACAAGGTCATTGGGAAAACCAGTGTGGCAGCTCCTAAGAACTCAAACATGGCCCTGGCCGGCTGGCTCAGTGGTTAGAGTACTGTCCCGCACACCAAAGGGTTGTGGGTTAGATCCCGGTCAGGGCACAAACCTAGGTTGCAGGTTTGATCCCCAATGTGGGTGCACACAGGGGCAACTGCTCGATGCTTCTCACACTGATGCTTCTCTCACATTGATGTTTCTCTGTCCTCTCTCTCTTCAGGTGAGGATAGAAAAAAAAATTAAAACTTAAACATGGAATTATCATATCATCCAACCATTTCCACTTCTGAGTAACAGATCACTCCCAGCCAGAGAGAAGGGAGAATGGTGGTTGTCAGGCTGGGGGTTGGGAGGAATGGGGAGTTAGCACTGAATGGACATGGGGTTTCGGTTCTGGAGATGGACAGCACTCAATGTCCACACACAAATGGTCAGGCCCTGGCCTGGCAGCTCAGCTGTTTAGAGCGTTGTCCCAACACACCAAGGTCACAGGTGTCATCCCTGGTCAGGGCACATGCAAGAATCAACCAATGAATGCATGAGTGAGGGGAACAACAAATACATGTGTCCCTCGCTCTCTCTGTGTCTCTCCACACCCCCTCCCTCCCTGCCTCCTTCCCCCTTTCTCTCTCTCAAACAGTAAGTAAAGAAAAAAATTTTAATGGTCAAAATGGTAAATTTTATATGTATGTTTTTCTACCCGCACATATACAAACAACTACCCCCTGCCTCCCCAAAACACACAGAGATACCACCTGCAAGGGAAACAGACAAAAGTGTTAGGGTTACTCAGAGGGCGGGACATCCGGCTTGCGAGTGAGAGTCTCCGTGTCGTGTGACTAAAGAGCGGTGTAGAAACGGGTGATGTTGAGAAAGGCAAGATTTTTGTTCAGAAGTGTGCCCAGGGCCATACCGTGGAAAAGGGGGGCAAGCACAAGCCCGGGCCAAACTCCATGGTCTATTTGGGCGAAAGATAGGTCAGGCCCCTGGATTTTCTTACACGGGTGCCAACAAGAACAAAGGCATCACCTGGGGAGAGGCTGCACTGATGGAGTATTTGGAGAATCCCAAGAAGTACATCCTGGAACGAAAATGATCTTCGCTGGCATCAAGAAGAATGCAGAACGGGCAGACTTGATAGCTTATCTCAAAAAAGCCCCCAACGAGTAGTAGTTGGCCACTACTTTATTTATTAAAAATGTCTCATGATTTTTTTTATGTGTACCATATTTAAATTGATCTCATACACCAGAATTCAGATCATGAATGGCTGATAGAACATTTCTTTTGGGCAGTCCTGATTTAAATAAGATTGGCTGCCCCGGCCGGTTTGGCTCAGCGGTTGGAGCGTCAGCCTGCGGTCCACAGAGACCCGGGTTCGGTTCCCGCTAAGGGCACGTGCCTTGGCTGCAGTTTGTCCCCGGCCCTGGTTGGGTCGTGTGGGTGGTGGCCACTCGATGTGTCCCTTTCACATCGATGTTTCTCTCTCTTCCTCTCTCTCCTTCCCGCTCTGTCTGAGTAAAAAATGGAAAAATGTCCTCGGGTGAGGATAAAAAAATAAATAAATAAGATTGGCTTGTGGTTAAATGAATATGGTCAGCTTTCTTACTTTGATGGTCATTTCAGTTCAGCGAGCACTATCACTGTTTTCCCTTTCTAAAAATACGCTTAGACTTGATTCGTCATGTTCAGCTTTTCACAGAGATGGAAAGTGCCATCTCAAAACCTGTTAGGAGATTGGTTTTATATTTAGATTTATATAACTGGTTGTATTAATATGTTTAGATACTGAGGAAATCCTTTCACTGTCTCTCAGACCAGCAAGACTCGCTTGTGTTTCAAGTTGTGTTCATGAGCCTGTTACAAGGCAAGGGCTGGAGGTGAGCCGGCAGTGCCCATTCCATCTCTTTGGTCCTAACTATGCCAGTTTAAGTTAAATTCCCAACAGTATCTAAACTGTTGCCTTTTCTAAATGAAAGGCGTTTTAGTGTGGTTTATGTATAATACCAAATAAAGAGTATTTAATGCTTCTCACATTTTATAGATGATCTATAAGGTCAGATGCTTTTAAAATGCAGCGTGACAAGATACAGTGGCAAACTTTGTGAATTCTTTAAGTCAGACAAGTTATAATTCAGGATTTTCTTGAACAGCTATTTAAAACCAACTGTAGAATTATTAGCTATTCAAAACCAACTGTAGAATTATTAGCTATTCAAAACCAACTGTAGAATTACTATATGTGTGTGTTATTGGTAATGGTGCTTTTGGCAGCTCACTAGAAGGATTAAAGTAGAGAACAGATCTTCAACATAAAATTGTAAATTATGTGATCATAAAGCCTAAGATAATTAAAAACAAAATCACATATGAAAAAAAAAAAGTATTAGGGTTAAAGGGGGGGCAGTCAGAACGTGTGCAAAAGCAGAGTGCAGGGGGCATGTCACCGGGAGGACGGACCGTCCCCCGTGTGGAGGGGCCTGAGCTCCAGGCCTCCGTGGGAAGAGCTGGTTAACACAGCAGGTGCCAGCTCGCGAAGGATCCCGCTGAGGAATGCGGGCTGCAGGCTCCACGTCCTGGGGAGGCACCCAAGGCCTTCGAGCAGGGAACAGCCTGACCATATTTGGGCTGCTGCACAGACCCTCCGGCTGTGGTGCGGATGCCGGCTGGGGGGGGGGGGAGCTGGGGGCGGGGCAGGCCTCTGCGGCAGAGCTAGGCGAGGCTGACACAGGCCCACAGTGGCGCCACGGCAGCCCAGGTAAAGGAAGGAGAACAGGAGATGGGACGTATGGAACTTGGACGTCGACCTGGAAAGAAGAGCCGAGGCGGAGCTGTCTGTGATTCCCAGGTGAGGTGCAAGGGGACCAGACAGACTGCGGGAGGAGGAAGGTCTGCTGGGCCAGGAGTGGGAAGCACAGTTCTGGACACACTGAGAGGACCCTGGGGGACATCTGGGCAGAGATGCCCAGTGCAGTTCAGCATTTCAGAAGGGGTTTGAGGGAAAAGGCTAGACCGACTAGGTTTGGGACTCTCTGGCACCATGTGGAAGGTCAAGTGAAGAGAGCGTCTAAGTGCCCAGGCAAGACTAGAACCATGAGGACCACCAACCTTGAACGGGTGGTGGAAGAAGGCGTCCTTAAGAAAGCCGAGGTGTCCAGAGGAGCTGTCCCTTCAGATACCTGGGCATCCAAATTCCAAGCTAGGGTCCAGAGAAGGGGCGGGGATCATGCGGCTGTAGCCGAGAGGCGGTAGGGGAGCCAAGGTTTAGGTGTCGCCCTGGTTGCCTTCTTAACCACAGAATCCTAGCATTTTGGAGAAGGGACCTCAGAGGCCATCTCTCAAACCCTGTCTATTTGCAAAGGAGGATACTGAGGCCAAAAGGCAGTGACTTGTCCAAGGACACACAGATGTTCAGCAGCAGAGCCAGGACCAAAGCCAGTCTCCTCGTCTGAGTTCACACAGGTCACCGCCAACCTGTTTCAAAAGACCCGAGCAGCCGTGACCGAAGGCAGAGCGGCAGCAGAGGGGCCAGGGAAGCGCTCCCAGAGTGGCAGGCCCAGCGGCAGCATCTTCTCCTGGGCCAGGGTGGCCCTGCCCACCTGAGACTCCCAAGGTCATGGTCCACCTCACCTGAGATGACCTCCAGCAGCAGCATGAGCTTCAGGCCATCCCGGAAGTCCTCCTCAATGTTCTCGATCTGCGTCCCGGCCTTGCGCAGGTGGGAGTTGCACCACGCCGTGAACGTCTGGGCAAAGGAAAAAGAGCAAGTGGTCAGACTCCCCATACGTCACATGGTCTCTGAGGCCTCAAGGGGACCTCAGTGGGTCCCAGGACACACCTGCCTCACACCGCCCTTCGGCTGTTCTATATAAGTCATGGGTGGGAACCAGTGGGACAAAGCAGCACATGTGCCTTTGGCGGGAACCGAACCCGGGTCTCTCCAGACCGCAGGCTGACGCTCTAACCGCTGAGCCAAACCGGCCAGGGCCACCTTTTTCTTCTTACATACTTTCAAAGAGACAGGAAGAACTTACAAGTTTTCTTTTTGTTCTTTCTTTTCAATCCTCACCAGAGGACATGTTTAGAGGGAGGGAGGGAGGGAGGGAGGGAAAGAGAGAGACATTGATGGGAGAGGGGTTTAGGGTGTGAGGAAAGAGGAAGAGGTCGCTTTTGTAAAAAGACGCTGCTTTGCAAGAGGAAGAGTACTGTTGAAAGCAGCCTGTCTCATTTCCTGAAGAAGCCCAACCCAGAGCCCTGGGAGACAGACTGCACCTGTGTGTGCTCAGGTCTCCCATTCACAGCCTGGCTCTGAGCGATCGGGGTCTGCTCTTTACCAAAACCTCCAAGGCCCCGCCCCGGGCCCCCACACGAGACGGTCTTGAAGGGGCCTGGGAGCACCTCCCAAAGAAGCAAGTTCCCCTAGGAAGCAGCACCTATCTTGAAGCTCAGGACTAAGGAGAAAATGGTGGCACCAACTCAGTGATTAAGAACATGCACTTCCCCGCCCTGGCCAGGTAGGTCAGTTGTTAGCGCATCATTCTGATGTGCCAAGGTTGCAAGTTCGATCTCTGGTCAGGGCACATATAGGAATCAACCATTGAATGCATCAATAAATGGAACAACAAATCAATATTCCTCGTGCCCTCGCTCTCTCCCCCTCTGCTTTCTTCTCTCTCTGAAATCAATCAATAAAAATTAATTAACAAACAAAAAAGAACATGCACTTCTGGGTATACCAGATCTGGGTTCGATGCTCAGACCCACTATTTACCAGCTGCGTGACCTTCAGATTAACCTCCCTAAGCCTTGGTTCCAGAAACAGTAAGTGGGGAATAGCCCTTTGTAACAGGGCTGTAACAGTAAGTAATAGACCTTTGTGAGAGCCAGCAGGATTAACTGGAAATGTTTATGAAGTGCCTAACACTTACAAAGTGCCCAGTAAACGGTAAGGACAAACCTTCCCATGGCGGCCTCGGAGGTCTCACGCCTGTGTCCTCCCAGCCCACACCCTCCTCCCTGCCTCCAGCCACCAAACTCTGTCCTGGGTTCCACCCCAGCAACCACTGCACGGTGTTTTCAAGATGATGCCTGATGTGCCCGGCCCGTGTGGCTCAGTGGTTGAGCGTCGCCCCGTGCACCGAAAGGTTCAGTGATCAGTCAGGGCACATGCCTAGGTTGTGGGCTCAATCCCAGGCAGGGGGTGTGCAGGAGGCAGCGATCAATGTTTCTCTCTCATTGATGTTTCTAGCTATTTCTCCCTCTCCCTTCCTCTCTCTAAAAATCAATAAAAACATTTTTAAAAAATTGTTTTTAAACATGATGCCTGGTGTGTCTGAGAAAATCTTATGTTTGAACTGGTGAGGGCTAAAATTGTGGTGGGGGTGTGGGAAGCCCAGGATTTTGCCAGCAAGAGGAGGCTAATGGAGCACAAAGAGGGGAGAGGGCAGTGTCCCCAATGCAGGCTTCCATGCGCACAGCAAGCTTCTCTTCGGGCACAGGGCAGGCCTTGGTCTTGAAACCTGAGCTCCCACATTATGACCGAGAAGGGCACCTGCCCTCAGTGTGCCCCAGGGGTCCAGCAAGGAAGGAAAGCCGACAGTCACAAGTGATGCCTGTGGCTGGAGACCAAGGGCCCACGGCCCCTAGTCCTGACCGCCAGCGTGGTGGGAGCACTACCCAGCAGGCTACGGTCCACCCCATTCAAATCAAGGGGAAGGGGACATTTTATTGCCTCAGTCCCAACCAGGACCTGCCCTAGGTGACCTTCCCTTTGCTCTAAAAGCCCCATGACTGGGTCCTTGGCTCACAACCTGACTAAGGAGCTAGGGCCTTCGGTGGACCCACTATTGTAGAAACGGCTCGGGAATGCTGAGGGGTCCCAGGAACAGTGCTTGGGCACCACACTGGAAACTCACAGGGCTGCAGCGAGGGCTCGTTCCTCCCTCACTCCACCCACCGCCCGCCCGGCTGGCACAGCTTCTGCGGGCCCAGGACAGAGAGGGAGGGGCTGGCACAGAGCCCGGACCCCTGCTCATCTTGAAGCATCTACCCATGAATCTGGCATAAAGGTGATTTTTTTAAAAGGGTGTAACCATCCAGCACTGTGGTTCAAGGTTGCAAATGGGCCTGGCCAGTCTCCAGGAGGGGTGGAGGGGAGAGGGGTGGACACTTGAGCCAGGCCAGGGTTCATGGAATGGATGAACAGAGAAAAGCACCTTTGTCTACCTTCTCCATGGGTCTCGCAGTCTCGCTTTCACACAGAATTCTCGCGTATCTTTCCACTGTATCTTTAACAAGTATCATGTCCACATATTTCCTTTAAAGTGGGTTGAGGAGGCAAATGGCCTTTGAGAACATGCTCTCCCTTCTCCCCAGCCCAGATGCACTAGAATGTAACTTAGCCACGAAGGCCTTTTTTTAGCCTCAGTTTTCACATCTGTAAAATGAGGACGACAGCATCTACCAGGCAGGACTGCGACGAAGATTAAATAAGATAATAGTGTATTTTACCACAAAAATAAACTGGGGGAAAAGGATGTTAACATGTTAGTATCTTAATTTATGATAATAAGAATAATATAATAATGTGTTTAAAATATAGTAAATGTGCAAGAAAGAGTCACTACCATCATCATCACCACCTAAATTTTAGGTTCTAAAGGGCTATCCGAGTAATCGATCACCAAGCTGGGATCACCCACAAGCACAGGTCAGAGGCCGAGCTTTTCTGAAGCCCGTGGCATTCACAGTCTTGACCGTGGTGGGAGTAGGAAGTGGTAAAACTACAGGACCTCCCCAGCATCACTCCGCAGAGCAAACATCCAAAGGATTAATCACTCTAAAGATGACAATGCAGCTCTGGCCGGTTTGGTTCAGCAGTTAGAGCATTGGCCCATGGACCAGAGAGTCCCAAGTTCGGTTCCCGCTAAGGGCACGTACCTCGGTTGCAGTTTGTTCCCAGCCCCTGTTGGGGTCGTGTGTGTGGCAACCAGTCGACGTGTTTCTCTCACACTGATGTTTCTCTCTCTCTCTTCCTCCCTCTCTTCCTCCCACTCAATCTGAAGATAAATGCAAATATGTCCTCGAGTGAGGATAAAAAAAAAAAAAGATGACAATGCAAATCCCACATCCATCTAACCTCTAACCCAGTAGTAACCTTGTAAGTGATGCAACATGGCTCTACCTCAAAGCACTCCTCTGTGAAATGGAGATAATAATATCACGGGGTCAGTTAAAGGATTTAATGAGACAATCCACTTAAACACTGAACAGAGGGTCTAGAAGAGAGTACCAACTCAATTATTACCTTTTATTACTGTCACCACAATAATTAGTTATAATTATTACAAGTTCATGCTGTTTAACACATGGCATCAAAGAATGTTAGAGCTGGAAGAGATGCTAGGCATCACCCACGTCGAACCCTCACTTTACAACTGTGGACACATGGATCAGAGAGGGTGAGTGGCGTTCCCCAGGCCACACAGCTGGGTGTGTTCACAGCTCCGCCTCCTGACTCCCATCTCCCATGCCTTCTGCTCTACTAGGATGACGAATTTCCGGTACAGGCACAAGTGGGGTGCCAGAGGGAACAGCAGAACCGAGGCCGAGATTGTAACCGGCAAGAGGGGTGGGCTGAATCTTGTGGAAAGTCACTGAAAACAGGTCGCTGTAAAGTGAGAACATGAACCAGATGGAATCTGGGTGATTCTGCCAGCACTGGCACAGAGTCTGAGTTGATGGAACATCAGCAGAGTTGGCAGGGGGTGGGCAGCCTCTCTGGCACAGAGAAGCAAGAGGAGCAGCGCCCAGAGGCAGGCAAGTGGTTGTCCAGCGGTGGGAGATCATTCTGGATGGTAAGCCAATCAGAAGCATGCCTGGGGGAACTCTGGGAACTGGGCTCTTTAACCAGGAGGAGAAAAAGAAAGACTCAGGGACTCATCTCAAATATTTGAAAGACCCTTCCACAGACAAGTAAATAAATTGGGGGGGGGGGCATCCCCAGAAAGAACAAGGCAGGCAACGCACACCAGTGGTGAGGCATGTAGGTTCTAGAGCAGAGCTGACCTGGAGCCAGGCCCAGCTCTGCCCCTGAGTGACCTTAGACAAGTGACTTCACTTCTCCCACCCTCAATCTCCACGTCTGTAAAATGGGTACAATACTAGAACCTACTTCTGAGGGTGGTGAAGATCAATGCAACAACACACAGCAAGTGCTCTGCATAGTCACCCACACATAAGGCTCCAGAAATGGTAGCTATGATTATCAGGATGAAGGACGGGAAGCCACAAGGAAGTCTAGAGTTAAAGTAATAAAGAACAGACCAAAAGCTGGATGTACAGTGTGTTTCCAGCCAAAGTCATGTGCTCGGTGAGGGTGCTGGGAAAGGATTCAAGCCGCCTGGGGGCCGAGCTAAGTAAGCTCCCTTACAATTCTGATAATTCAAGAGCCCAAGGCAGCCCTTGAAAAGTTGGTTTAGAGATGTGTTTCAAAAGTTCATTCAGACCAAGATCACACAATTAAATATCTGAGCAGGGTTTCAATCTCGGTACTATTAATATTTTGGGTTGGTTACTTGTTTGTTGGGGGGGGGTCTATGCATCCTAGGATGTTTAACAGAATCCCTAGACCCTACCTACTAGATGCTGTGACACCCCCTGCATCTCAAGTGATTGAAAATCACCCCCGTTAAGAACCTAGTCTAGGAGACAAACACATAAGCAGTAAATAAGAGTGATGATAAT